AGATTTTATTTACTTATTTTTAGGCGGAGGGGAAGGGAGGGAGAGAGGGAGAGAAACATCAATGTGTGGTTGCCTCTCACTCAGCCACCCTACAGGGGACCTGGCCTGCAACCCAGACATGTGCCTGACTGGGAATCGAACCGATGACCCTGTGGTTCGCAGGCCGGCCCTCAGTCCATTGAGCCACACTAGCCACAGCAGAAAGGGGGTCACTTTCTAAAAAGCTGCCCCACTAAAGCAAATTTAAATAAAACAGCAGTGTAAACATGGTAACGTATTTAGCGTCCCTGGGTCATTTCCTGGAGGGTAGTAGGTGCTCAGTAAATGGAACCTCACAGTCTCATTAAAGGAAGAGCTCACCAGTGTGTCCAGCACTGGGATGGGGGCCATGTGGGAGGCCCCTGTCTGCTCTGTCCCTCGCTCCCCTGCCCGCCCCAGGAGCACACTCACACACACTCACACTCATGCACACGCACGCCCAGGCACAGACACAGCAGCCGACTCCCCTGCGGAACCGGGAAAGTGCAGCGGCTGTGCTGGCGGCGCCCACACGCTGTGCGGCAGAACGGCCTTCTGGCACCAATAAAAATAAACCCAGTCGCGGCTTTTCAATCGGCGGATTAGCCTAAATGTTGGGAAACAGAAAGTGTGAAACAAGCCTCGGAGAAGCAGCGCTCCCGCCTCCCAGCCTCCCTGCTCGGCTCCGGGCTGCTGGCGCCCGTCCGTCCACGCGGGGCTGCTTGTTGCCGCCCTGCGAGGCCGTGGATGATTTGTGCGCAGTGTCAGTAAACGCTGTTATGACATTATTAATGCTCCGCTCCCCAGCAAAGGACAATGGTCTGCTGCCCAACTCGGAGCACATTACATGGAGATTGCAAACACCACACGCTGCTCGTTTCTTTCTTGCCCCCCCCACCCCCACAGGCCTTCTCTGTGAGCTGCAGAAGCAACCTTGCCACCTTGAGAAGGTAGGGGTGGCGGCCCAGACTCCCGTGCCCAGGGAGGCTGGGGGTGGGGGGTACCAAGAGTCAAGGAGGCCCCCAGGGAGCATGGAGCTCGCCCCTCGGCGCTGGGGGGGTGGTGACTTTGCAGTGGAAGGGTCCAGGGTGGGCTTCAGGAAAGCCAGACTTGCTGGGGGGCAGGGCTGGCGGCTCCCTGCTCTGCCTTCTGAAGACATCAGCAGGGGACCCAAATGGCTGCCTTGCCAATGGGCTTTATGATCTTGCACAGTGCTTCAAAAAAATTGAGTCTGCATTTTAAAATTCCGTGACTTCCCATGAGAAGCCTGGATTTCCAACTCTCTTGAAATGACTGGGCTCACATTCACTCCAAGGGTGGGGACTGACATCCAGTCCTCACCGTCACTAGCCGCTCCGGCCCCTTCCCATTGGTCCCCACCCCCATGTCTGCCTGGAGCCTCAGAATGGGATCTTACTTGGAAATAAATAGGGTCTTTGTAGGTGGGTTAGTTAAGATGAGGTCATTCTAGATTAGAGTGGACCTAATCCAACCACTGGTGGCCTTATAAGGAGAGAGGACACACACATGGGGGAGAAGGCCATGTGTCACAAGCCAACAATGTCCAGGACTGCTGTCCCCCCAGAACCCAGGGGGAGACAGGATGGGTCCTCTCGGGGAGCCTCCAGGTAGAACCACCGCTGTGGTCCCCTTCCCTTCTCTGTCTGGCCCCCCTCCAGGCATTTTGGGTGTGGAAACTTTCTCCAGAACCTTCCCCGGGACCCTGCCCTCCCGTTTTGGACAGAGGGCCTGCGTGGCCTGGCAAGGGCCTCTCCGCATCCTTCTAGCCGGAAGGCGGCAGAGAGAGTCAGGAAGAACTGTGTTCAGAGCCCCCACGCTGGTGTGGTCTGGGTCCCGAACCCCCATGTTGGGCTGGCCCGTGGTTCTATTTGTAGCCTCCAAAGAGGAAAAGCATGACGAGAGCTCTGGGACCTTGCATGACCCGATGTCCTCAGTCCTTGGATGTGCCCTGCGACAGGAGTGGCCCCGACTCCTACCCCCTTGCTTACCGGAAGGCAACAGCTGTTCGCCCTGAACAGCGGGTCTCCGCTGGGGCCAGCTGTGTTGGCGTAACCTGTGGCCGTGGAAACCGCATGTGCCCGGGCCTCCCTGGAGGTCCAGATCAGGGGAGGACTCTGTTTTGTTACGTTCTGCAAGCAACTCCATTGAGAAACCCTGGCCTGTGGGGTGGCGTTCGCCGGGAACAGACTCTGAGATGAGGATTCCTGTGCCAGGAGTTTATTTGGGAGGTCACCCCCCCCTTTACACGGACATCGGAGGGGGAAGGAGGCAGAGAAGGAAAGGAAGCCCACATGGGGTGCGTGATGGGGCCAGTCATCAGGGCAGGCAGCTGAGCACAGTCTTGCTGGGGAACAGTGGGAGACAGCGTGGGACAAGCCCAGTATCCCACCTGAGGGAGAGACGTGCATTTATTCGTTCCTTGAGGGCCGCTTCCAGGCCATTAATTTCTTGGCACTTGTGCCTTGCCCCTGCATGTTCGGGCATCTTGCCGCTGCCAGAGACAGAAGCCTCCAGCGTTGTCTGTCTCCTGTGTTCCCAGTCACCTGCCTTTGGCACGTAGGGTGAGTGCCCAGGGGACAGGGCGGGCACCTACAGCGTCCGCTGCAAGTAGACAAACCGAGGCAAACCTCCAGCGCCACACCGTGAGGGCTCCGAGGCGCCCCACGCACCCCCAGGCTCAGTTCTCATGCGTCCCTGCGAGGCGGGCTGCAACCAGCCTGCTGTACGGTGGAGGACACCGAGGTGCGGAGGGGTCAGGCCCAAGGCTGTGCCACACGGGGGCCACTGTTTTCCCCCCACTGTCTACTGCGCATCGGTGAGCGAGCGGATGGGCTGGGCTCTGTAGCTGGCAAGAGGCTGACGAAAGGGACCAACCTCAGGGAGGAAGAGGCTGTGGGGACCAGTGCGGGCAGTCGGGGTTCTGGTTCGAAAATGGCTTCCCTGTCCTCTGGGCCTCTTGCGGGCCAGTGCATGCGGTCTGAAGGCAGCCCGGGCTCCCCCTGCCCACCTCAGCGACCACTTTCAAGACTGCAAGGCCCAGAGGGCGTGGGTGGGGCACCCTCTCCCACCTTCAGAATCCTGGCTTCCAGCAGAGTGAAGGCCACCTCCCCAGATGAGTCGCACCGGACATGGCCATGCTTTGGGTGGGGGAGACCCTTCTTCTCCCCTCCCCTTTGGCCTAACATGCCAGCCAGCCAGGTGCAAGTGCAACCCCCTGAGCTGTCAGGAGAGAGGCACAGCATTGGAAGGGCCATTTCACCCCTTAGCATGGAGGCCGCTTCTGCCTCAACAGCCAGGGGTTACCGCCACAGCGAGCGGCAGGTGTGGGCACCCAGACACCAGGTGTGTGTGGTTCGGAGCCTGGCAGAGGACCCCCCCACCCCGCCTTGCTCCGGCAGGTCCTCGGCCAGCCTGCCCGAGGCTCAGTGTCCCCACCGCCACTTACCACTCTCCTGCACAGGGGTGTGGTCAGCACGCCCTTGTTCAATGCAAATTTGTTACCTCGCAGAAGCCGCACGTTAGCCCGCCAGCACCAATTTATCATCCACTTTCCCATTTGCAGGGAGCCAGGCAATGAGATAATGGGACTCCGGACAGGAGGGTTTTGATGAAGAATAAGCAGGAAAAGCTGGGGCGTGAGTCACTGCTGGTGGGAAATGGCTCAGAGGGGGCTGGGAGGTGGGCTAGGCCGGCCACAAAGGGGCTGGGCACGCGGCCTGGAGCAGGCCCCGCGGTGGGAGAACAAAGGCTTTCCTCCCACCGAAGCCGGACTGTAGAATCCTTGCCTGGGATGGAAAGACCCTCAGGGTCGCCTATGTCATTTCACACCGGCCGGGGGCCTTGGGCTCTTCCCAGCCGGGGGCTTCCCAGTCTCCAAAAATGAGCACGTGGAGGGGCGGGTGGGAGGAGGGCACGGGCGCACAGAGGGGGCCTTAGCGAGCTTCCCGTCAGTCTCATTTCTTAGTGGAGAAACCGAGGCGTGCGAGTCCCCTGGACGTGCACCAGCCCCTCTCCTCCCCCGGGTATGGGAGGGTTTGAGATCAGAACTCAGGCCCACACGGTTCAAACCGCGGCAGTTTCTGATCAGAGAGAGCCAGAGGATGGGGGAGGGTTGCACAGCGAAATCAGGTCGGGTGTGCCGGGGCCGGTGCATAAGCCCACAGGGGCGACACCGGCAGAGGTGGGCGGCAGGGCCCTGGCACCGGGCAGAAGGCTCCGGAAAGCGCGGCCGGGTGAAGGGATCCCCGCCCGCCCGTCCCCAGCTCCCCGACCCCGGCCGGGAGAGTGCGCTGCTGGGCCTCCGCCACCAGGTGGCGCCGACGCGCCGAGGAAGCGGGCCCCGGCCCCGCCGCCTCCTCGGAGGAAACAATGCGGCGCCTCCCCTCGTAGCGCAGCGCAGCGCGGCGCGGGCCGGACGCCGGACGCCCGGGCGGACGCGAGGCAGGGCGGGCGCGGGGCGCCCTCGCTGGGAGCCATGGGCGCTGCGCGGCGCCGGCGCGGGGAGCGGCGCGGCCCGGAGGCGCGGGGGGCCGGGGCGCGAGCCCGGGGCCGCCTCTAGCCGGCACCGAGGGCGCGGGCCCGGGGATGAGGGCGCCCGCGGCGGGGAGCCCGTCCGCGCGCCGCGGCGCCGTCCCGCCCAGCGAGCGAGCCCGAGCAGGCAGACGCGCGGCCGGCGGTCTGGGGGCGCGCCGCCGCCCGGCCCCCAAAATGTGAGGCGAGGAGGGCGGAGACGCAGAGACGGCCAGCCGGGCGCCCTCGCCGCCCTCCGGCCGCCGCACGCCTCCAGTTCCGCGCCAGGCGAGGCCGCGCCGACCCCGCGGGCCTCGGCCCGCGCAGCAAAGCCGCCGAGGCCCCGCGCTCCCCGGTCTCGCTCAGGCTCCGCTTCCTCCCGCGGCGGGTTCGCGGCCCCGGACGGCGCGTCCGGCCTCGCTCGCGGCTCCTCGCCCGGACAAGTTGGAACAATGATCACGGTGAACCCCGATGGGAAGATAATGGTCAGAAGATGCCTGGTCACCCTGAGACCCTTTCGGTAAAGTTCTCTCCCGGTTGGCGCGGGGAGGTCGTTTTTCCCGAGGGGCGCGGGGCAGGGGCGCGCGAGGTCCGTCCCCGCGGGGGGTGCGGGCCGGCGGAGGGGCTGGGGCCGGGCACGGCGCTCGCGGCTCGGGTTCGGGGGGGCGGCGGCGGCGGCGAGTGATTCCGGGACTTGTCCCGAGTTGGTCTAGTTTGGAAAGGACTCCGAGTGCGAAGGCGGGAACGAGGGCAGGTGGCACCCAGGTCGTGGACCTGGGCTGGGAAGTAGCCCAACCGAGCGCGCCCTCCCTGCTCCTCGGGGTCCCGCCCCTCCTCGCCGGGGGCCCCAGGCTGGCGTCAAAGTTAGGGCGCCGCGCCTCGGGGTCGGCCTGCCGTGCCAGCCCTTCCCTGCCCCCTTGGTCGAGCGCTCCGTTTCTTGTCGTGGGGTGCGGGCTGTCTCCAAAGGGGGATCCCCGAGATTGGGACAAGGAGCCTCTCTGATGGGGATTCGACCCCCCCCCCAATCTAGGTGGTGGAGAGGCGGGGATGGGGTGGCGCCGCGCTGCTGGGGGCGGCAGGAGCCCGGACTTCGGCGGGAGCGCGGAGGCAGGATGGAGGTGGACACCGGTCCCCTCACCCCACCTCGGGCGGCCAAGGCCTGGGGCTGTGCGGCCGGTCAGGCTCTGCGGGCCCCACCCCGGAGGCCTGGGGAGTGGGGGGCGGAGGGCGCAGAGGAAGCGGCCACAGGTGAGGGAAGGAGCCCTTGAGGCTCCGAGGCTCGTGCTGTGGGAGGTGCTGAGTTCCAGCCCCTCCTCCCGAGGCCTCGCGGGACCCTCCCTGATGTCCCGCCCTTCTGCTGACCTGGGACCTTGGTTCACGAGGTGCCCGCCTCCCCAGCACATCCAGCCCCTCCATCTGCCAGGCCTGGGGCTGCAGGAGCCGCGCCGCGCCACCCCACCGCCGGCTGGAGGGTGCGGGAGGACCACAGGGCCCGGCTACCCCGGGGGTGGGCCTTGACCCGGCCAGTGGGAGGGACTCAGGAGCCCCCTACAGACACAAGTTTCCTATGGGAGGCGGGCAAGTCTGGAAGGGGACTTGCTCCTCCGGGAAGTCCTCCAATCTTTAGCTGACCCGCACCATGGAGAGGGTCCTCACCCGATCTCATCCTCCACGTCCGTCCCGCCGTCAGCCTGCAGAAAGCCCAGCCGCGGGACCGAGCTTTAGCCGGACATTTCCGAAGGCAATTAGCGCCCCGGCGGGGCTCCAGCACCACGGACAGCGCCCGCGCCCCGCCTGCATCCCTCTGGGGTTGTGCCCTGATTGACAGGCTCTGGGGGTGCACGGGTTCCCCCCCCCAGTTGTCTAGCTTCACCTCAGGGTCTCCCTAGGCCAGAGACCCACAGCCTGCTGTGGAGTCTTTGTGTCCCCTTCAGATGGCGGGGGCAGGCGACAGGCCTCCAAGGGTATCCCACCTGCTTGCCATGCTCAAGGGCAGGCGGCCTGGCAGGACTGGGGTGGGTTGGGAGCGCCAGGCTCTGGGCTACAGGCCGAGGCACCTTGTCACCGCAGGTCTTGGGATGCTGGCAGTGGGGTTCGATGCTCTAAGAGCAACCCCATTGCTGGAGAAGGGATTGGGGTGAGGGAGGGATGAGTCACTTGAGGGGCCGTCCTTGTCCTCAGGCCAAGAGGACAAACAGCCAGTTTCCTTCCGCAGGACCTTCTGGGTATATGCCCACCTCCTCTGACCCTGTCCCTCTGGCTGCTGTCCTGAGACAAGCCTGGCTTCACCTGGGGGACCCTCGGGCCTGAGCCCTACCCTGGGCTTGGTGGGATTCAATGAGGGGTCCTGGATGAGGAGAGAGCACTGTCCCTGTGCTGTCCCCTGCTTCCTGTCCTCCCTGTCACCTCCTGGAGGGTCCCCTCTCTGCTTTTGGATTCTGCCCCTCTCTGGTTTAATCTCCTTTAAACAAGCTTCCTTTAAATATGGGTAGGGAATTTTGTTGTGCTTTTATTTTCTTCCACAATTATGTGTTTTCTTTAATGGCCCAGAGTTTAATTAAATACTGCTCTGCCAGTTTCAAATAATGAAGATTAAAATGCATAAGGCAAGTCTTGCATGGAGGAGACACACTGGGGTTGGAGGACCGGGTGGCTGTGAGGGGGCTGGAGGTCTCTGGTGTGATGGGGGGCTCCCTGCGAGGTGGGGTTCCTCTCCCTGACGGGGGTGAGCGAGACTTCCCCTTCCAGCTCTGCCAGCTCATCAAGGTCTCTGGTCGACTTAAAGTCCCAAACAGCTGCCACCTCCGGCCACCTGAAGACTATGCCCGGGAGCTCAGTTGTCCTGTGTGGGGCCCCAGGTCTAGTACAGCAGCAGTGGGGTCTGGGGCTGGGGACTTGAGGGGGGCTCCCTGTGGGGGCTGCACGAGTGCCTGGCACCTGGTAGGTGATCAGTAGCTACAGACCAAAGCCGTGAGCAATAGTCCTTCTCTGGCCAGCTCTCCTGACCACGGTGACAGCCGTGCTGTGTGACACCCCACAGGCAGGCGCCAACGCACTCTGACCGGCCCCTGGCTCTGGCAGACAGTCTACCTACCGCGTGCCCGCCTGGTGGAGACGGGGGTCAGGGAGAGTCTGGGCACACGGCCCTGTCCTTCTAGATGTTACCATCGGTAGTGATGGGCACGCCCCGCCCCCTGCCCATGCCGAGGAGGTGTCCCAGCTCCCCACGACTGGACGCCTTGGCCAGGGTTGTGCACACAGTGCCGGCAGGCCTGGTGACAGACAGGCCCCAGGCGGGCGGGCGGTGTCTCGCCCTCTGGCTGGCACCGGCCAGTCCTGCTGGTCTCTCCTATGCCAGCTGCACCTGGAGAGCTGGTGGAAGGAGTGCTTGCCCCAACCCCGGAGGGTCCAATTCAGGAGCCCGGGGATGGGGGTGGGGGCTCAAAAACTGACACGTCCAGCATTTTGGAAGGGATGCCCAGGCTGCTGCTCTGGGGCCACACGCGGAGGGCCACTGGTGAGGAGGCTCGGAGCTCACGCCCAGGCGAGGTCCTGGTCAGTCACGGTCTGGGGGCCGCTGTGCCGCGTCCCTGTGCGGGGGCCGTCTTTCTCCTGCACAGATGAGAGACGTGCCCTGACCTTTTGTGCCCCGGCTCGCCGCCCCCGGTCACTCGGTCACTGTGCAGGCCCTCACAGGACAGGGGTGCGTGCTGACCGCCCGCCCTGTTGCTCTCCGCAGGCTTTTTGTCCTGGGCGTCGGCTTCTTCTCGCTCTGCTTCCTGATGACGTCTCTGGGAGGCCAGTTCTCAGCCCGGCGCCCCGGGGACTCTCCATTCACCCTCCGCACAGAAGGTATCTCACTGGGGGCAGGGGCGCCCCGAGTGGCGCAGGTGCGTGTGGGTGAGGGCGGGAGGCCCTGGAGCCTCGCACGGCTGACGGCCCTCTGGCGCCCGTCCCGGGCGTCCTGGCCACCTGGTCACTGGACGTGTGAGTGGACTAGGGTCTTGGCTTGGGCTGCGCGACCTTGAGTGCTGCCTCAGCTTCGGTCTCGGTCGTGGTCATCAGGGCCCCTCTTGCCTGGACTCTCGGGCCGGGGTCTCCCAGGCATCAGAAAGGGCTGCCCGTGTGGCTTCTCTGGTGGGAGGGGCCTGGCCCCAGCACTGGTCTCTGGGATGCCCACGCTCTTTGCCGTTGGTCCGGGCTCAGCCCCAGCAGGCTGTCCGTGGGCTCTCGTGCCTTATTTATAGGCCTGTGGGACACCGTCCGGGTCCCCAGGGCTCTGCCCACATGGTGCTTGCGAGGCCATGGAACGGAGTCTCCAAGCAGGGCGGTGGGGACTGGATGGCCCTGGTTGGTGTCCTGGCTCATTGTCTGCCGGCTGTGTGCTGCGGGCCGCATCACTGCCCTCACCTACAAGGGAGGAAAGCCACACCCGTCCTCCGGGGCTGGATTGCCTGAGCTCACCTGGCTGGGGCTGTGATGGGGCGGCGACCCTTCGCCCTTCATCCTGGGAGGCGTTTGGACCCGTGTCACAGGGCCTCATCTGTCAACCGCAGGGAAGGCGGGCACGGGGCTGGGGAAACGGAGGCAAGTGGGGTTCTGGGACTGCCCGGGGCTGGCTCGGTGGGCTCCCCCTGCCCCCGTGGGCAGTCTCAGCCGACTGGCTCACCCGTTTCAGGTGAGGACCGTACCCTTCCGCAGAAAGGTGGTCCCCCTCAGGGCGCTTAGGGGGCATCCCGGTGCCACCCCTGCCTCCTCATTAGAGTCGCGCCTTCGTCTTGCACACACCTCTGTGAACGTGCAGAGGTGAACTCCCGCCTCGCGGAGGCTGAGCTGTCCCTGAGCCTCCCTCGGGCCCCCCCGATGAATGGGACAGCGGCGCCCGCTTCCCCACGGGCACTGCCACGAGGACACACTCAGAGAGCTCGTGTAAAGAGCCCCGAGCAGCATCTGGCTACTAGTCCAGGCCCTGTAAATCCTGGGGCGGCTGAGTGTGCAGGGGGAACATTGCAGAAAAGAGCGAAGGACTGAGGAGGAGCCGGGACTTCCTCGGGGAGACACGTGAGGGTTGGGGCGGAAAGGGCGGCTGCACCCAGTGGGAAGGCACCTGGAGGGGAATCTTGGGGGGGACCCTGGGGGTCCAGAGGCTTGGGGTGTGGGAGTGATGCTCCAGCTCCCTGGGGCCATCCCTGTGGAGGGGAGTGTCTGGACATGTCTGTCTCTAGGGGTGCCGTATATCAGGGGCTTGAGGCAGCGGGGCCTCCAGAAAGGTGAGGGGTGGTGCCCAGGGGCCGGCACACAGCTGGGTGTGTGGGTTCTTCAGCTCACCTCCCCGAGGGGTTGGGGCCCTCACTAAGCCCAGAGTGCAAGGGGCTTGCGCAGGCCCTGCCGAGCCCTGCACTCTGCAGTTTTGCCTGGTAGGAGGGGTGGGAGCCGGCTCTGCCTAAGCCTGTGTCATAGGGGTGGACAGAACCACAGAGGGAGGAGGACTTGGCCGAGGCTGCGCCTAGATGTGATGTATCTGCTCCTGTTGGGGGTGCTCGGTCGGGGCTTCCCGGTGGGGCCTCTACGTGGGGCTGCTGTGGACGTTCTGGTCCACGTCAGGTGGGCACGTGCGGGCATGTCTGCCAGGTACCCCAGGAGCGGGGTCGAGGGGGCTCCTGTTGGAAGCAAGATGCCTGAGCGTGAAACGGGCTGGGGGGGCCTGTGAGAACCCGGAGAACTGACCCTGATTCGCTGCGTATCCTGGTTCTCACCGACTCCCAGTTTCTTTCACGACCTTGGATTAAGCTGATTTGCTTGGAGAGATGCGAAGTTGGGACTTGGAAGAGCCCCAGGTGTATCTTGTGGGTTTAAAATCTCAATCCTGCAAGAGACACCCTATTCCCTGCGGGGTGGGGGCGCAGCTCAGGCTGAACTTTGGAGCCCAGCAGGTGGATGGGGTTGGGGGAGGGGGGCTGGTGTGCAGGGGCCTCGGCAGGGATTGGGGGCATGGTGGGGGGTTTATTCAAGGAGTCTGCACTCAGCCCCAGGCAGACTCGGGAGGCAGAAACCCACGTTTGGGAGGTAAATCCTTGTACCGGTCAACAAACCCTGCTGAGCACAGGTGGAGAAGCTCTTCCTGCCCGTCAAGGCTGAGGGCAGTGGGGTCCCACAGAGAGGGACAGACGGCCGCAAGGACGTGGCCGGGGGGGACAGCAGCATCCAGAAGGACAGGAGACCCCACCACGGCCTCCGTGGACTGAGGCCTCCCCGGGAAGGCTCTGGGTTCACCTGTGGGCCGGTTTATGTTTCGTGACAGATTCACTCTGTATTCTGCACACTTGTCTTAAGACGTGGGGAGGAGGAGGCTGAGGGGAGACATGTAACTCGGAGGAGGTCTGACCCAATTCTGTCTCGCAGCAGCGGCTGGCTGGGCCCCGGGGGCCTATTCCCTGCGTGCTCTCTCCGTCCCTGCCCCTCCCGCTGCCTCTTCCTCCGCTGCCCTTCCCTGTCCTGGGAGGACTTGGCTTCCCCTGCAACAGGGGACGTGACGTGTGTGAGGCCTCCTCCCAGTGCTGCTCGGCTCCCTGGGGCACGGGGGGGGGGCTGCCGTAGCCCCTGTCTTGTCTTGAAGAAGTAGAGGTCCCGGGCCGTGTCCGGGGATGCGGGGCACAGGTCTGCAGGTCCTTGCTTCAGCCTCATGTGTTGCCCTGAGTTTCTGCTGGGGCAGACCTCCAGGCCTGGTCTGGCTTGCTCTGTGGCTGCCCCTGACTCTGAGCCTTGGCCTCAAAGGGCTCTGGGGCACCTCCTCTTGAGGCTACCAATGGAGGGGTGCGCCCGGGCCCTGGGCCTGCCCCTGTGCCCCCGGCTGTCCGGAGCCCTGAGCCCCCATGGCCTTGGCTGGGTTCCAAGGGGAACCCCTCAGCAGGGCCAGGACAGAGGTGCCCACACCTCCAGCCGCACAGACAGCCCCCACGCCAGGTGCAGGGAGGTCTGCCTGTCCATCTGTTCAGGTGTGAGCCCTTCAGCCTCCTGGGCGCAGGGGGAAAGGGTGGGGATGAGAGAAGAGGAGGGAGGAAGGGAGAGACAGAGAAGTGGGCACACGGCTTCTGGGGGGCGGGGCCTCGGTGGGCAGGAAACAGCCGCCCCCCCCCTTCCGTGTGTGGGGCCATTTGTGTCTCTGGCACCCGGCTTGCTTCATTTATATGGAAATGTGGAGGGAACACGTGTGGGATCTGAGGTGTTCACTGGGGCCTCAAATTAAGTGCCTTCAGTTTAGCTGCCGCCAGGAGCGGAGAGGTGACCCCGGGCAAGCCAAGTCAGGAGTGTGCTCTGCTGACAGTCCCAGCTGTGTAAAGCCAGCTTCCCTCCCAGGGACCCACCTCCCACCTTGCCCTGGGCAGAAAATGTAGGGGGCTGCCCGCTGAGGTGTCAGAAGCTTCCGGAGTCCTGTGCCCCCTGACAATGAGGGGAGTGGCCCCTGGGTCCCCACAGCTGGGGAGACGGCTGGGGTCTTGGTCCAGTCCAATGGAGGAGGCTTTGCAGACCCACCCGCTGGTGAGGGGCCCTGTCTCCTCAGCCCGAGGGTCCCTGGTCACCTCTCGCTCTGGTCTGTTCTGTTGAATTACCTTGCTTGGGTCTCCCTTCCTGCCTCCTCTGCCCCTGACACTGACCTAGAGGGAAGGGCACCTTGTCCCCCTTAGCACCCCTGCTGCACAGAGGTGGGCGGGGGCTCACATCTCGGCTCTGCTAACAGATGACAACCGCCTCTTGTGTCCTTGCCTTTCAGAGCCCCCTGGTCGTTCCCACCCTGTCAGCCCCTCCGGCCGCCCGACCACCTGTCCCTGTGCCTCACTCTCTCTCCCAGTCTCCCAGGCCTCGGGGGGCACTCCAGTCTTCCTGCCTTCTCGCCGCGGCACCAGTCCTGGCAGGAGGGCTTGAGCAGGAAGAGGCAGAGCTCCGCCCCTTGGGACATCCTGCCAGCCCCTCAGGCACAGTCCTTCCTGTCCATCTCCCCGACCTCTGCAGGCAGTCAGGGAAGGTGCAGACCTGTGGAGCCCAGCCCTCCATCTTACAGCAGGGGAAACTGAGGCCCAGAGAAGGACATGCCCATCCTATCGCTGCCCATTCTCTCCAGCACTCATCCTCACCCTCCGTCCGTCTCTGTGTCTGTCTGCCTGTCTGTCTCCCCTTCCTCGTCTCTCCCACCCTTGGCCCCTCCTCCGATTCACGCCTGTTCTTGCTTCAGAGCCAGGACCAAGGCTCTTTAAGAAGATGGAGAGGAAACTTTGGGGCATCCTCAGCTGGCTGATGGGATCTGGGGTGAAGCACCTCACTTTCACTTAATCCCATTCTTCACAAGGTGTCCCCTGCCCTCAGCCTTGGCGCTGGTCTTTGGGAGGCGGAGACCAGCTGGAGGGTTGGGGCAGATTCAGGGTGGCCTTCCACGGCGGGGTCTGGGATGGGGGGGCCCGAGCCTGATGGGAGAACAGGGCCCCTCGGACGCGGGCCTGCAGCCTCCTGTGCATGTGAGCCATGTGAGGCGCAGGCAGGGCAGGGTCCGGGGCCCCACGCCCGAGAGATCCGAACACACAGGTGGGGAGCAGGGCCTGAGAATCTGGATTTTAACAGCCCACCCAGGCGATTCAGGGCGGGGCGAGGCGAATGGTTGACCAATTTTAGAGCCCGATCCAGGAGTTCTCTTTGGAGCTTGGTGGAAAGGGGCTCTGAGGCCCCTGCCCCACCCCTGGGCCTTCTCTGTCACCTGGCAGACCTGAGAGCATGTCTCAAGCTTGATTTCGTAGGCCGCCAAACCGAGGCCCGGAAAGGTTAAAGGTCTGTCTTGGGTGCACCGCTGGGAGGGAGCAGGGCTGGCTCTCTGCTCTCTGGACTCCTGCCCTGCAGGTGGGGGGTGGCCAGACTCCCTCTCTTGACCCCCCACCCTTCCTGGGAAGACAGGAGTGGGCTGGGGTCTGAGCCACCCTGGCCCGGAGACCAGGTGGCCTCAGGCAGCCTCTGGGCTGCTGGGGCCTTACCTGATTGTGGCCCCGCTCTGCCTACAGTGACGGGGGGGCTGGAGTCCCGAGGTGTCCTCCGCAAGATGAGCGACCTGTTGGAGCTGATGCTGAAACGCATGGATGCGCTGGCCCGGCTGGAGAACCGCAGCGAACTGCACCGGGCTGCGGGCCACGGGCACTTTGCCCTGGACAGGTGAGGGGGCACGAAGTGGGGGGGAGGGGTGGCACCCGGGGGGTTGTCCCGACCACCTGTGATGGTGGAAGAAATGGCAAGAATGCGGAGAGCCGCAGAGTGAGTGACTGGAGCTAGACAGCTGTTCTGCCCCCGGTCAGAGCTGTTAACGCCCTGGTGCGGTGGCCTGTCTCTCTTCCTTTTTAATAACACAGCACATGTGAAAGCTGAAGGGTCCTTTAGCTGCTTCCCCCGGGAGACAAGTGCCTTTCTGACACATTGCAGCCCATTCTAGGCGCTTTCACACCCGTGTTTTGCGCACCTACGAGTTGTAAGTGCACAGTGTGTGGTTTCCGCACGCCCTGTGTAGGTGGCGTCGTGGCAGTTTGGAGCTCTGCCTGTTTGAGGGGCACGTGTGGACGTCCACGTGAACTGTGGTGGCCATCTGTGCACCAGTGGAGGGCGCCACCTTTGCCAACAAGGGTTTTCAGGTCTATTCATTCTACGTATCCCTTGCTGAGCCCAGAGTGCTCAGAGGTTCCCCAAGTTTGCGGTGCTGCCCTGTACCCCTCCGCGGCGTGGGCAGGAACCCAGTGGTGCACGCCCGGATTGTCTGTCATCGGTGTGTCCGTGGTCTCCGGGCCCCAGAGAACGGGGTAGGGTGTCCCGGCCCCCCCACACCCCTCGCCGATGCAGCTGTGGGGGAGGGCGCCTGGGCCCCGCCATCCCGGGGAGACCTTTAGGGTGTTGGGGTCCTTTACGAGGTGGGTCTGCGCAGCATGTTCTAGTTGCCGGAGAATCAGTTGGAAACCCACACTTTGACACCATTCAGGGAAAGCTATGCCTCAGCCAGTGTGATTTGCTAAAAGTGTTCTCCTGCTAAATAACACATTTGAAATCCACACTTGGAGACAATTTGCCGAAAAGCTCTATCTCAGCCAGTGCGTGTGATATAAAAGCCAGGCTCCAGACATTTCCGGTGGAAGAGGCTGCCACTCCAGCGGGAAGGCGGCCGGTTTGAGGAGCGAGGGAGCTTCCTGGGGAGGCTTGTCTTGGGTGATGGCGACTCCAGTGGATCTCTCCTGCCCGCCGGGATCGCAGATGGTCTCTGGGGGCCTTCACTGGTGTCAGTCCCGTGCACCGTCAGGATGGTCTCGGTGAGACCGTGCTCTCTTGCGGCTGCATCCGGCAGGCAGCCCCCAGTGTGGGAAGACCCCCAGGGCGTGCCTTCCAAGGGCGGGGTGGGGGTGGAGAGAGGCCCCAGCCCAGCTCTCAGGCCGGCCGTGGCCTTGTCCTTGGTGACCTCCTTCAACAAGGGGGAGACCGAGGCCCAGGAGGCAGGAAGCCGCTCCCAGGTGCAGGCTGTGGAGGGGCTGGGCCTGGCTGGGCCCCAGCCAGCTGGCTCCAGAGCCCACCTTTCCAACCACGTGCTCAGCGAGCGAGCGCCTCCTGGGGGTTCGTTCCAAACCCTTTGGCAAGACTTTCTACACCAGCTAATGTGCAACCTGGGAAGAAAGCCCTTTGTTCCACCTTTGTTCTGGGTTGGGTTTTTTTTTTTTTTGGTTTGGAAAATGTAGCCACTGAAATGACAGCCAGTAGCCTGGAGTCCCGTGCGTCACAGAAGTGGAGGGCCCGACACAGTGCTGGCTCCTGGTGGGGGCTCAGTGCCCACGAGAAACCGGGCCCCTGGTGGGCTCCACGGCCGGGTGCTGGGTCCCCGCTCGACACTGCTCCACCCTCCAGGGCCTGAGCATCTGGCCGAATGAACTAGAGGGATCCCCTCACGGAATAGGTACGGACCTACTAAGCGCGGGGCGCTGCTGCCGGTGCTGGGGGCGCAGTGAGGTTCGTCGTCCTCGTTGCTGCCCGGAGACAGGCAGCAGCCGAGAGGAGGAAATCGGTGAGGTGCTGTCAGACCCTGATCCCCACTCTGAAGGATGGGGGGCTGCCTAGGGAAGGGCTGTTCACAGGGGGGGTCTGGGAAGGCCCTTCTGAGTTGGGGAATGTCAGAGCTGGATTCGGAAGAAAGCGGGGGACGCAGGCGGCCGCCGGAGCAGAGGGTTGAGGTAGGGCAGGCGCCCTGGGGCGGGACCCCGGCTGGCACGTTGGAGGTGAAGGACCAGCGTCCAGGCCAGCACGGCGGACTGCGGGGCGGCCGGTGGCAGCCCTGCTCAGCCCATTGGGACACTATTTTCAGAGCTGTGGGAGGTTGTGGGAGGGCTCGAAGCCAGGGACTGACGAGATCGGCCCGCTTTTTTTTTTTAAGATCCGACTGCTACATGAGAAATGGCTCGAGCACTCAGGGAGGGGGGCAGAGGGGCCATCGGCAGTGACGGGAGACAGCGGCGAAGGTCTCCGACTCCCCTGGAGTCTCCCCTGGGGGCACGAGGCCATTTTCTTCTCCGTGTACGTGGGTCGATTTGCTCTGACGCCGCCGCTGTCCCCTGCGACCCCGCCTCTCCCCCCCTCGTCCCTCCCACTCTCCCGCCTGCCCCCAGCTGTGTGGCCGCCCCGGCCCTGTCCAGAGATTCCCCGGGGCGAGGGCAGAGGACCCAGCCGGCTCCCTGCAGAGCCTCCTGCTGTGGGCAGAGAGCGAGGGTCAGGTGTCCCTGGGCTCTGGGTGCTGTTGCCGGCACGTTGCGTGTGTCTCGGATTTCTTCCTGTCCCGCCGTCCCCTGCCTTTCCTGTCCTCCTGGGGCAGCACGAGCCACCTCCCAGCTCCGGCCAGCGGAGCCCGTCGGGCCCCACAGGCCGAGCCATGCGTCTCCGGAGCCGTGTGGCCGCTCTGGCCTCAGAGACGGAAGCGGAGAGTGTGTCCAGGGCTGTGGGTGCTGTGTGCCCACCCCCCCCACGTGGTTGCCAAGCGCCGCCTCTGGGACTCTGGGCACCGGCTGCAGTGGGCGCCGCACCATGAACGTGAACATGGTCGCACCGTGACCTGGTCATCGCACGGGGGGACCCGCCTTAGGGTGAGAATCTGAGCTTCAGGAACGGCTGTCTGACAATGGTCACTGTGGCCTTCTTAGTGGTGTTAGCCAGTTCGAGTGACAGTTTCCAGGCCTGCTGTCAAGGGAGCCCTAGACACGGCGCCTCCGCCCACAGGCAGGGCTCAGGTCGTCGTCGGGAAGTGCGTGGATGGGGAAACACAAGGATTTTCACAGTTGGGGGAAAATGCAAAAAGTATCAGGTATCCCATTATACGTAGAGTTGGACTGCATAGCCTTAAAACCCAGTAAAAATAAAATACTGCAGAAAAGGCGACGGAACGGAGGTACAGCAAAGTTCTCGTCTGTGGGCAGTGAGGTGGGGGGCTTTCCCCTCCCCATAGAAATTCCTTTTAAAAAGCAGCTTTATTTAAACACTCAGAAATGCTTCTAGACACCCAGCTCTGGGGGCCGCAGGGCCTGGAAGCGCAGCTTCCCTGGGGTGTGTGTGCGTCGGGGCTGGCGGCAGGGCAGGCGACACTCTGTCTGCTCAGACAACTTCGGGCTCAGTTTTCCAGGACACACCTCATTTCTCTCGGCACCGGGGCGGCCGGGCCCCGGGTGTGCCCCTCCTTCTGCGACAGCCTCATGCTGAGCCATCGTGGGGGCGCCCGTCCGCCTCCAGGGCCGGAGAGAGTCCAGGCTGCCGGGAGGGTGGGCGGCTGGGCGAGGTCGGCCCTCCCTCCGGGGTGGAAGCCCATCCCGTGCGGCAGTGACTGAGGACGGGCCAAACATCCCTGCAAAGGCGCAGGTCCGCCGCCCGTTTGGAAGACGGCCCTCAAACCAGACGAGCCAGAGACCAACGGCAAAAGCAAAGGGAGGCCAGTCTGGGAAACAGGAGCGTGGGGAGTGCGGCCGGCGGTGTCGACGTCAGACCAGAAACGTCGGAGGCAAAGGGACGTTCAAGGGGACGAAGGGTGTGGCAACGGTGTCAGCCTCACCGGCAAGAAGAATTCCACTTCCAAGAAAACAGTCGCGCCCCTCAAGTTGGCACACACGTGTTCATTACATGACATTTGTCACTGAAAGGCAGCCAAACAGACACATCTGCGCACATGCCATTGGGAAGGAGAGAACCAGGAAAGGTCAGTACAGCGTGGGCGCCCACGGTACGGAGGGACGTAACCACTAAAACCCACATTAGAAACAGTTAATGAGCTGCCCCGGCTGGGGTGGCTCAGCTGGTTGGGACCTCGTCCCGTAACCGAAAGGTTGCGGGTTTGATTCCCGCTCGGGGCACCTGCCCGGGTTGTGGCTTTGGTCCCCGATCCCGGCTCCAGGCGCGTACAGGAGGCGGCCGACCATGCTTCTCTCCCGCGTTGCTGTTTCTCTCTCTCCCTTCTCTCTCTAAAAGCAATGGGAGAAATGTCCTCGAGTGTGGATAAAAAGTTAGTGAAAGAGGCACGATACAAGGCGTGTTCGGTGAGACCTCAGTAAATAAAATGCACGTGTAACGAGTTAAAAACACCCTCCAGGAGAAAGCGGGCCCCGGGGTGGGGGTGGGCGTTTGGCCCCCCAGCCCGGTATCAGCACCAGTCCCTTCCCCACGTGGTTGGACCCCACCCTGGGCACCGCCAGCCCCATTCCTGTCAGTGGTGGGAGGTGCCTGTTGTCCACCACGTCCGTCATCACTGTAGATACCAGCGCGTTTCTTGGTGCTCGGGCCTGGGGCGGGGCTGGCGGACCTGCTGTCACCTGTTCAGGGTCCCCCGTCCCCAGCATCAGGGGTGCTGGATGGCGGTGAAATGGGGCTGAGAAAGGAGCAGTAAGAGTGCAGGGAAGAGGGTGGGGGCTCCCCGTGTTACAGACAGATAGGCGGACCAGGGAGAACAGGCGTCCCGCCTGCAGTGCTGTTTCTGGCCGTGCATGCTTGTGTCTCTGGGCCGTGTGTCTGCAGGCACCCGTGCCCCAGAGTCTCCGTGTTTTTAGAGCAGAGCGCCCAGTTTCCTAATAAAATAACAACTCCAGCAAGCACGCTGGCCAGCTGTGCAGAAATCGATGCCCTGTTAATTGAATGCAGCCTCATAAATCATGGGAGGAACTCGAAATTCCACCTCCTTCCCCAGGCATCCTGGGCCGCTCTCCACCGGGCCAGGGGAAGGAAGGCCCCAACTGCTGATTGCCTCCAGGGGCCAGGAAGACAGGCTGGAGCCTCAGGGGACCTCTTGGAGCCCATGCTGGGAAGGGAAGTGGCCACTGGCCACAGGCAAGAGCCAGAGTTCCCTGCTCAGCCCTGGCCCCTGGCCCTGAGTTGGGAGCAGAGTGTCCTGTGGCTGGAGGGAGGCCTGTGGTGTTGGCTGCCACTCTGGGGGCAGCCCCCAGATGCTGGCTATCCCAGGTCAGCCTTGGGGCCACCTGACTGCAGGGGGGCACTTGTGGTCTGTGGGATGCTCGGGCAGGGGATCTCTGAATACCAGGGGTATTTAGACTACACCCAGGCTGGCCCCGGTGGGAGTGGGCGGCCCAGAGCCTGGCTTGGCCTTCTTTTACTTAGTAAGAAATGATGGTTGTGGTGAAATTTCTGGTGCTTAGTAGGTGTGCAAAATACACGCAGGCCCAGGGCTCATGCGCCGGGTACGTCTGACTACTCTGTGGGCAGAGGGACAGGCAAGGGCCGGCGCAGGGGCCTGGTTCATCTTCCCCAGGGTGGGGCCGGCAGGCGTGCGAGGCCCTGTCTACCTCAGAGGTCTCGGGCTTTGGGCGCGCTCGCTCCCGAACCGCGACGGTTCCCCAGGCCCCCGTGCCTCCAAGGAGGGCAGTGTAAAAGGTGCAGCACACCCAGGGGGTGGGCCCGCCAGCAGGCAGGTAGGAGGCCATCACCCCCTCAGCCCCCCCAGCCAGGGCTGTTTGCAGACCCTCTCGTCTCAGTCTTACGAGGACCACTGTGGGCACCCCACCCTGACCGGCTCTGAGACTTCATTCACCAGCCCACCAGTTCACGTTCTTCTGCGTCGACCACCTTCTGCTTTTCAAATGCCCGCCCCAAAGACAAACAAGGGAAGAAATGAAAATAAGCACAAGCAGGGAGATCCAAGGGCTCTCCATCCTCTGCGCCGGCGGAAGGCAGACAGGGGCCTGCTGGGCGGTGGGCGAAGGGCAGACGGCACCCTCCCGTGTGCCCCCTACCTGGGCAGACAGAATTCCAGGCTTGCGCCCCGCTGGCGGGCTCTGCACGGTTAGGACGGGTGTTGCCAGGGAAACTCCTTCTGCCAGAACTTTTTCCGCCTTCACCATCTGCCGTTGGCTGCGATCCCAGTAGAAACAGTGCGGAGGGTCCCACCCCATGACGTCCCTTCGCCGGGCGGGGAGGGCCTGCGGCCTTCTGCTCAGTCCTGGCCTTGGTCCTGCCGTCGGGCCCCCCTGCAGGCACGGGCGCCTCCCAGGGGCACTGCCCCTCCCCGCCCGTCACGGGACGGGCAGCGGGTCCATCCCAGACGATCCCGCTGTGCCCCAGGGCAGCCTTCCCTGACTGCTCCAGCCCAGTGCTCTGCCGGCAGCACCAGGCTGCTTCCAGGGCTGGGGACACAGGACCGGGGCCCTTGTGGGGGCTGCGACCGCTGCACGTGTGTCCAGGTGTTTGTCCGGGAGGCCCAGCCCCTGTGCCCCCGCCATGCCCGTTGCTTGGCCTCCCCCTGGAGCGGCTTCGCCACCCGCCCCTCCGCCGCACCGCGGCCGTCTCAGCAGGACCCCCGCCCCGCTGGAACCCCGTTTCCCACTTCACAGCTGTGTGACCCTGAGCAGGTAGCTCAGCCTTGCTGTGCCTTGGTTTCTTCCCCTGCACAGTGGGGCCGGGAAAAGGGGTCACGATGTTGAGAGGTGAACGGGGGTGGGCACAGGAGGACCTTGGCGAGGAGCGTGCCCAGTGGCCGTTTCACTGCCGTAATTCGCGGTGGCGTTTTCCCGTCCTCCCCACGGTCCAGGACAAGCCCCGCCTCCCTGGGACTTCAGAGCAGGACTTCAGGCAGCAAAAACCTTTGTCCTGTGAAAATTGCCGAATTTCTCCCCGCCCCACAAGTAAAGTTCCTGGCTCTGCTGGGATTAGACTCATGTATGACCCTCCCTCTCAGGGATGAGCTGACAGCTGTCAGGGAGAAGCAGCGTCTCCAGCATTTATGGAGCGCCTACTGCATGCTGGGCATCGTGCACTCAGCCTGGTGTCTAACCCTTACAGCCACTCTGTGAGGCGGTTGAGATGCTTCAGATTTTGTAGGAGCTGACCCCTGAGTTCAGAGAGGTTAGGGAACTTGCCCCAGGTCACAGAGCTGTCCAGGGAAATCGGGATTCGAGTCAAGGGCCTCTGACTCTGAGGCCCTGCACCCGGCGGTTCTTCATCCTCAACACAAGGAGCACAGGTCAGAGAGAATTTTGGGGGCGGGGAGGGGAGGAGGAAGGGAGAACCGGGACTCACTTTCCGTGATGGATTAAAAACCATTTCCTTTTACTTCTGCGGGTAGTGATTGTGAGGGTGTCCTGGGGCCCAATGAGGACACATTCTGAGGCTCCGGGTGGCTGTGGATTTTGGGGGACACTGTTCAACCCAACACAGAGATGGAGCCCTGGGTGCGAGGCCCGTGCTGGGCAGCGTCAAGCTCCACTTATGAAAGGTTGGGACCCGGGATCCCCTGGAGGTTTCAGCTGGCTGCTCACATTCACACCCGAGGTGCAGGGGCTCAGAGAAGGGTGGAGGGGCCCCAGCCTTGGGGGAAAGGTGCCTTCAGGAAGCGGGTGCAGCCCCTTCCAGTGTCTCTGGTGCCCTGGCAGAAGCTCGGGCTGCTCCGGTTGGAAGTTGGGTGGGGCACCTGGCCCTTCCCTGCCCCAATCCTGACGCAGCAGCTGTCTGGCCCTCTGTCCTGGGGCCACCTCCTTTGGTCACCTAAGTAATCCTTCCTGTCAGAGGAGTGCCCGTCCTGTCTCTGCTGGTTGGTGGGGTCACAGTCCCTCTGGGCGTCTTTCGGAGCCCTGCGGTGGTCAGGGTGGGCCAGTGCCTTCACCGGCCTGACCCAGGTGTCTCAGTGGGCGCGGATCAGCCCCGACTGGGTGAACATTGGTTCTTGAGGGGCAGGACTCTTGTACATATGACCGTGGCCCGAGGTTCTTCACGGGCCTGGCATGTGAACAAGCAGAATATCCATGGGGTTGATGTTCTGGGGGGGGAGGGGAGGGAGCGTGACTGGGGGAAAACACATCTAAAAAGGCTTTCTAGGGCGGCGGTGGTGCAAACAGGCTGAGAATGCTTGGTCAACCGAAATTCCTTTTGCCGCAGCTGCGACCAGCCCACAGCACAGGCGGCCGTGCGGGCGAGCACATTCAGGGCCTGCTTCACTGGACGCTGTGGGTCGGGGCTGTTCTCGGCTCTGTTCTGAAAGAGGAGCACACTGAGGCTCAGAAAGGGTGGGCGACTTTCCCAGGGTCACACAGCCGTTGAGAGGCAGGCCTCGAGCTCTGCTCCTTGTGCGTGGCTGTGCACTGGACGCCCTGACCGCTCTCTTCCTGACGGCATCTGAAGAAACACCCCCACTTCTTCCTGCCTGGGGGCCTGTGAGCAGAAGGAGCGTTTGTCAGATCCCCTCATGTGAAATCTCGTGGGAGACCACTGTGAGGTCTGTTGTCTTCCAGAAAGAGATGTTGAAGCCCTAACCCCGGTACCTGTGAGCGGCATCGTATTTGGAAACAGGGTGTTTGCAGATGTGACCCAGTTACCATGGGGCTGTGCCAGGTGTGGGCAGGCTCTCGCCTGGTGATTGGCGGGCGTCCGTGTAGGAAGAGGGAATTTGGGCACAGGAAGGCCAAGTGAAGACAGAGACAGAGGGGAGTGACTCGGCCACAGCCAGGGAGCTCCAAGGACTGGGGCCCCAGCAGGAGCAGGAGTGAGGCCTAGAGCAGATCGTTCCCCGGAGCCTGCAGGAGGGACCGGCCCTGCCTGACCTTGACCTCAGACTCCTGGCCTTCCTTGGTGGGCAAGGTCACCCGCTCAGAAGAGGAGGGGAGAGGGTTTTCCAGCACCGAGAGCCCGGGTCGGAAAGATCTTCCTCCACGTAGTTCCAGGTCTGTGTGGCCAGGAAGACCCAGTTCTTGTAAAGGGATAAACAGAGATTAAACCGGGCCTTGAAGCCAGAGGACAAAGCGAGAATCAAGGAAACGAAAGTAATATGTGTGGAACAGCGAGCGTCTTCCTGGGGAAAGGCCCCAGGGTCTCCCGGCACTGGCCCTGGGCCGGCAGAGAGCAGGCTGCCTCTGCAGGAGCGTTTGCAAGGAGATAAACACCACGCGGAGGTCTCCTAAACCTCCGGGTTCAAGGAAATAACTTCTCCCCAAATGCAGGCCACATGAGACTGGGGCAGGCCGAGGCGCTTGGTGGTTGTGGCAGAAAACAGAGTTCAGATCCTGGGAGGAATCCGTTCTCGGAACCCAACAGTAATTTAGTAGAAGTTTAACAGCCGGCGGGTCCCCTGGCTGCTCTGGGTAGAATTTATGTTGGCGTGATACTGTCCTTCTGGGAAGAAATAGAGAAGCAGGGTCAGGGCAGCTGGCCGTGCGGACGAGGGCCCCTGTCACCGGAGGCCCCTGGACTGGCCCTCTCCTGGTTCTGGGATGGAATTCCCCCGCTGCCTCAGGCTCTGCACTTGGACACAGGTGCGGACGGGGTCCGCCTGTGCACCGTGGGCAGTGGCCCCTGCAGCCGGTGGGGGCGGGCAGACGGCTCCTCTTCCAGCCAGGCTGTATCCATTGTTGCCTTTCCACCCAGTGCAGGGGGGTGTGGGATCCCTGCAGTCCCAATGCTCTCCTCGCTGGCCAAGACCCTCCTGGGCAGGCCCTGCCTCTCAGCCCCGGTTTCTCCCAGTAGGTTGCCGCCTGGGGCCGGCCTCATGGAGCGGATCCAGGCCATCGCCCAGAATGTCTCAGACATTGCCATGAAGGTGGACCAGATCCTGCGGCACAGCCTACTCCTGCACAGCAAGGGTGGGGCCGGGGCACCCCTGCACGCCCAGGGGCCAGTGCACTGGATGGGACAGCTGGGGGGGGGGCCTGGCTTCTCCCACGTAGCTCCCCAGGCTCTCAGCAGGGCAACTCTGGGTTCACACACCCTGACTCGGCATGAGGTGCTGAGGACAGCAGAGGCCCCTGGAGACTCAGGTGGCCCCCTCTGCTCCCCTGGATGTGGGAGCGGCAGTCTGGGCTGCAGCCTGGCCTCGGCCCCCTGAAAAGGTGGGGGTACATCAGGGTGGGGGCGTCAGGTCTTCCCATCCAGGCAGCTGATCCATAGTCATCCAAGCCAGCTCTTCACTGGGTCTGAACCCCCTGAGGAGGGAGGGTGGGGTGGGGTGGTGGCAGGGGACAGCCCAGGTCCGGGGACGCCCTGGTGGTGGCCTTTCCAGTGAGGAAACTCAGGCTGCAGACTGCGCTAGCTCCCGCCGCCCCCTCCCACCCCGACCAGCCTGTCCCGTGTCTTCCGGGCTCTGTCCCTGTCCCAGACCCAGGTCCTCAGCAAGGTGACCTTCTCTCCCCAGTGTCCGAAGGCCGGCGGGACCAGTGCGAGGCGCCCAGTGACCCCAAGTTCCCTGACTGCTCGGGGAAGGTGGAGGTGAGGCCTGGGGCTGTGGGTGGGGGTAGAGGTGACCAGGAAGGGGGCTCCTCCGTGGGCACTGTACCCCAGATGAGCTCGGGGGTTCCAGTGCCCGTCAGGCTGCCCGCCAGCTAGAGCCTTTCAGCCCAGGCCGCTGACCCTGACCTTGACCCCAGCAGCAGCTGGTGGAGGCCAGCCCCAGGGAAACTGCTTCTCTGCCTGGCCCACCGACCATTTTCAGTGCGTTTTTATAGCAAACGAGCTATCAAATATACGCCTCCCAACAAACTCAGACACAGGGAGGACTTAGTCTTTCTCCTCATCCCTCGTGGACTGAGCAGCTGGACCGAGAGCCCCTCAGGCCCCACCTCCCTGGACCTGCGGCTGCATGAAGCCTGTCGGGGCCAGCGAGTGGCAGTGAAGGCCCGCTCCTCACTGGTCCTTGAATCCCCGAAAGGGTGGGGTGGCAGCTGCAGACTGCTTCCTCGGTGACACCCCAGTGTGTCGCCGTGGGTGGGCCTGCGCTCGCCCCAGCCCTTGCCTCCTCAGAGGCTGCACCTGACCTTGCCGCCGGCGAGTCCAGCTGGACCCCAAGCTGCTGCGCCTCCCATGGTGTCCTGCCCTGGCCTCGTTTCCCTGGGGCCTCCTCTGCCTTCTGGGCCTGGAGGATGCTGGTCCAGCTGGCCTGCCCTGAGGTTCTCAGTGGCCAGGGCAGGGGGCGTCTCTAGGGTGGGCCCCAGAGGCCGTGCCCTGGTGGATGGCGGGAGCCTCCCAGGGTCACGGCGGTGAGGAAAATGCCGAGGGGGTGGGCAGGCCCCTAGCCCAGGCTGGCGTCTTTGCAGTGGATGCGTGCACGCTGGACCTCGGACCCCTGCTATGCCTTCTTTGGGGTGGACGGCACCGAGTGCTCCTTCCTCATCTACCTCAGTGAGGTCGAGTGGTTCTGCCCCCTGCTGCCCTGGAGGAACCAGACGGCCCCCCAGATGGCCCCCAAAGCCCTCCCCAAAGTCCAGGTAGGCCTGGGAGTTGGGGAGTGTCAGTGAGGGGTGGGTGGACAGCTCCAGGTGGACATCCCCTTGCCCCTGGTGTGATGAGGTGGCCAGCTCTGCCTGGTGGTTGGGCCTGCCCTGCAGAATGCCCGTCCACCCCCCTGGGGACGCTGTGAAGCCTGCAGGTGCCCCCTTTACAGACCAGAGCAGCAGTAATCACTGGCACCCCTCGAAGACTCCTAGCACGTGACACTTTGGCTGTTGCTGAGCCTCCCCACTGTCCTCCTGAGACTGTTTAATGGGGTGGCCAGAGCTGAGCTGGTTCAAGGTGTAGTTGCTCCGGCTCCACCAGAAGGCAGCCCGGCCTCCCCGGCTTTCAAGCCGCTGCCCTGACCACTGGCCTCCCTGCCTGCTGGGGGCACCTGGGATCACTGGGCACTGGTGCTGCTGAGCGCCTCCTAGAGGGCTCGGGACCGGCCGGCTTGGCTGCGGGGAGAGAGCAGGGGTCCCCACTGCGGGGGCGGCGGACCTCCTGGAAAGGGCGAGGGGCCACAGCAGGCTCCGGCCTCACGCGGAGGGCACCAGCCCCCATCCCTGGGGCTGCGGGTGCTGGCAGTGGCATAGCCGCAGGTCTCCGAGTCCGAGAACCCGGGACTGGACTTCCCTCCAGGCAGTTTTCCGGAGCAACCTGTCCCACCTCCTGGAGCTGATGGGCAGCGGGAAGGAGTCTCTGATATTCATGAAGAAGCGGACCAGGCAGCTCACGGCCCAGTGGGCGGTGGCCGCCCAGCGCCTGGCGCAGAGGCTGGGGGGCGTCCACAGGGACCAGAAGCAGGTACCTGACCCTCTGTGTGCGTTCAGGGAGCTGAGCTCAGAGGGATAGGAAATTAGCCCAGAGCCCCAGGGTCCCAAGTGGACGCCAGTCTGCCCTCGAAAGAGTTTTACAGAGTTTGAATTTGGGCCAGAAGGGGGAGGGGAGGCAAAGACAGGTGAGAGGCAGGTGTGGCCCGGGGCCCTTTCAGATTTGGGAAAGAAAGATCCCCCCCCCCGCGCTGCTCCTTAAAGGTCCTGCCTCCTGCGGACGTCTCGTTCTCACTGGGTGGAAAGGCCATGGCATTTGTCTGGGATGTTGGGGATGATGTCATCCGTTTTGGGAGGGTTCGTCGGTCTGTCCGTCCGTCCGTCTGTCCATCCACCCATCCAATAAGTACTTGCCTGACTCTCACGCCGCCCTGTCTGTTTCTTTCAGAGCCCCTCTCATTTCATGAAATTCTCTCTTGTCTGTGTTCACTGTTGTCTCCTCTTCCATCTGGAACGTAAGCGCCATGAGGGCAGGACGTGACCGCCTTGTTCACCTGCGCCTGGTGCCGGTGCGGTCACTCTGCCTCTTGGTCCCCCCGCCGTGCCAGGAGGCGCCCGCCCAGGCCCAGCTGGGAGACGGTGCCTGCCGCCGGCCGGGTCTCCCCAGGGTGGCAGGGCCAAGTGCTGTTGCTCCTCCGTGCTGACCGCCCCTGCCCCCACAGATCCTCGTCCACATCGGCTTCCTGACGGAGGAGTCTGGCGACGTGTTCAGCCCGCGGGTGCTGAAGGGCGGGCCCCTGGGGGAGATGGTGCAGTGGGCGGACATCCTGGCCGCTCTGTATGTCCTGGGCCACGGCCTGCGGGTCACAGTGTCGCTGAAGGAGCTGCAGAGGTGAGTGCTGGGGGCGGGGAGCCCCTGCCCCAGAAGCCCCTGCTCCATGAGCTCAGTCCGCCACCCACCCCCACCCCCTCCCCCTCCCCCATGGGGACTCCTGGTCACTGTTGGGATGCGCCCAGGGAGTGCGTTTTCATTGAGCTGTTCACGCTGCCAAATTCTCCATCTCTGGGCTGACAGGTACCTTGGGTTTGTGCTTGGGGGCTGACAAGCATTGGCTTGTGGAGTTGACCCATGTCCTAGGGGTGGGGTCCCCTCAGCCTGGCATTCTGGTGGTCTTGGAGCAGCCTCAAGGTTCTCTTCTGGAACTGGGATCCTTCCCGGGCCTATTTGGAAGCTGGAGGCCAGTAAGCCCAGGAGGGTGGTGGGTGGGCCGGTGATGCCTGTGCTCCCCTCTCCAGGGTCCCTCTGAGGCCCCCGGAGGTGGGAGACGGACGTGATTGCAGGGTGGGGCTGCGTGTGGGCCCTTCGCTGGGACTGGATTCATTTCTAACTTCCACATCTGTGAGATGTAGGGATACGTGCGCTTTTTCTTCTATTGTTTACTAATGTGAGTCACTTGGTACCTACAAAAATACATGTAACACATGAAGCAGAAGGGGCGTCCATGGTTCCGCTGCTCACCATGTGGAAGCGTCACCGGGGCTCCGGGTGGCCTGGGGTTGCCTGTTCTCGCCCCTCCCTCTGCCTCCTGGGAGGGAACCTGCAACTTGGATTTTGCGTTTGTCGTTCCTTTGCGTCTTAGAAGAAAATTGGTGTTTTTAACACACTCACATCCTCGTGAACAGCATGCGGTGTGGTTGCATTCTGGTTTGGTCTGGGGCTCGGTAAAGAGGCGGCCGTTGTAGGTCGTCTCCGAGACTTGCCTTCCCCGCCCGGTGCTACGTTCCGTGGTTCATCCACGTGTTGCAAGGAGCTCCGGGCCGTTCCTGTCACTGCTGGGAAGAGACCATGATGGGCCGTCAGTCCTGCCTGGCTACCGAGGGTTTGTCCTGGCTTCGAAAGTCATGCTGGATGATGCTGCGGGGGACACTCTGGGGCGAGTTGCCTGGTGCACCTGAGTCAGTATTGCTCTCGGACGTGAACTTAGGAGAACGCTTGTCGAGAGGCAGGGAGTGTGAAAACTCAGCTTTTCCCTGGACGGTTGCGCTAATTCGGTCCCACCCACATGGCTCCCAGGGGGCCACCTCTCAGTGTCACCAGGCTCCCTGACAGAGGGCCCCGGCGACAAAGGAGGCCAAGCGTCCGCCGTATGTTTGTCTGTCTTCCTTCCTCTTGAAGAGATGCCCATAGGTGTCACTCACCCACTTCCCCACCGGGCTGCTGTTCCCTCGTGGGGCTGTAGGAGTGCTTTATGCATTCCTGGGATTAAGCCCGCGTGAGCGATGTGTGTTTAAAACTCTTCTAATTTGTGGCTTGTCTTGGTGATTTCTTTATTTTACTTTTTTATTCTTATCCAAGGACGTGCTCATTGATTGTAGGGAGAAAGAAAAGGAGGAAGAGGGGGGGAGAAACATCGATGTGAGAAACATTGATTGGTTGCCTCTTGTACGCACCCCGACCGGGGACTGAACCTGCAACCCAGGCACGTGCCCTGACTGGAAATCAAACCAGCGACCTTTCCAGTTTATAAGATGACGCTCCCACCAACTAAGCCACACCGGCCAGGGCAAGGCCTTCATTGTAATATAATCAGAATTGTCCATCTTCTCCTTTACGGCTGAGGAATTTTCGTTTGGTGGATTTCTGTTCCGCTTTTATCAGCACTTGGTGGGGAGCGGCCCAGCCTTGCCCCAGGGCACACCTAAGGGTGCTGGGCGTTGTTGGCCTGGGCATTGACTTGTCATTAGGCCACGAAGTCCCTCGTGGGTGGTGTTCAGGTGAAAATGTGATTCCTTTCCAGAGCCCGCCCCCATCTTGACGGTCCGTTGGTTCTCGGTGTCTCTCTCTTTCTGGTCAGCATTTCTCTGCGGCTGCAAAGCTGACGCTTGTCAGCGCAGGGCGTTGGGGAGAGGAGGCCACTGCTGGGGACAGAGCCATCTGCAGTTTTCGGGCGGGAGTCTGCCGCCCCCGGGTGGACCTGCGCGTGCCCTCAGTCAGGGGAGGCACCGGGACCAGCCCTGGTGAGCAGAGGCAGGAGGCCGAGACGGGGCTGTGCCGTGAGGCCACAGAATGACCTGGTGGTTTGAAGCCACGCCTGTGGCTTCAGCTCACACCATGGGAGTCATCCTTTTAGGCTGATGCGTGTGAGGTTGGTGACAGGGACAGATGAGGGGCTGCACAGTTGTGGCAGCCTTGGCAAGCGCAATCCCAGGTTCTGGGGGACTCAGTGCCAGCTGGCAATGACACCTGTGGCTCCCCATCTGGCCAAAGGCCCCCTGAGCTGGAAGGGGCCAGGCAGGGAGCTGTCCCCCCAGTGCTGGTGCTGAACCACAGACGGCTGCCCTGGGCTGGGAGTGGGAGCCCACGCGTCGCTGTCGCCAGCTCTCACCCCGCTGGCATTCCGTTGTCAGACCAAGCTGTTCACGTCGTGCAGGCCATTTCAGAGCCATGTGCCCACGCACCACCCACCAGCGCACCGTGCTGCTCCGCGGCGGGGCCCACCCCCGGCTCCCTCTAAATGGAGCATCAGTGCTGCCTGCAGAGCAGAGCCCTGCGGGGCCAGTGAACAGCGGCCTCTCTCTGGGGCCTTGAACCCCCCCCCCCAGGGAGGTGAGATGCGGTCAGCATGAGAAGGAGGGGGCACAACAGGGACCCAGTATGTGAGAAGCCAGAGGATTCTTGGACAACTTGTGGATGGTGGAGCCAGGGACAGTGGGTGGCCATGGGCCAGACCTGTCTCAGGTGGAACAGCAAGCAAGGGTCCAGGGGCCCTGTCCCCTGGGTCACCAGAGACCCCAAGATGCAGTGGGAAGAGCCCTGGGGTGGGCTAGTCTAGAGCCGTCATCCCAGGCCCTGCCACACACGGAGTCCCCAGGCAGGTGTGGAGCATCCTTTGGTCCGCGTCACGGGCACCTCGCTCCGCGTCAAGGTTAGGTGAACACACATTTACCAAACAGCATTCAGTCCGGCCCCTCCCTTCTAGCCATTCATCTTCGGGGGCCAGAGAGGGGAGAGCTTCACTCCTTTCCTGCTCCCTCGGGGAACGGGAAGGCTTGTCCCAGGCTTGTGACAGTTCAACGCTGGGCTCAGAGTCACCTTCCCCGAGAGCAGGGGAAGTGACCAGCCTCCCGAAGACGCAGGAGTTTAACTCAGTTGTTCCCCTTCCCGGCGCACGCTGGGGTGTCTCCTCTCTCACCCTGCACCCTGAGTCCTTGCCTGCCCAGAGTGCTCCCGGCCCCTCGGGCCACCCTGGGGCCCGGCACGGAGCTGTAGTTGGCGAGGCCGTCACTGCTGCTCACAGGGCCAGAACGGGGGCGGGTTTCTGCACCCGGGAGCCCTGAAGGCAAGGCCCTGGCAGAAGTGCCAGGAGCTGAATATCCCTTGCTGCCGCTTCTGTCAGCACCCACACGCACCCACACACACCCACACACACGTGGGCATGTGCATGCATGCCACTGTGTAGAACCACCTGTTCTACAGGTGCACGCCTATGCTTGTGTTCATGTGTGTGCACGCTGTGCATACTCCACATGTGACACACATAAGCACTCCCTGCACACCTCCACACATGTGCACACACACACCCTGTGCACGACACACACCACACCACATGTGTGTGTGCACGCAGGCACACATCCCCCCACACACACACATGCACCCATGCACGCTCCACAGGGAATCTGCATCTTCCTCTGAACATATCACTTCCCACCAGGCTCGTGTGGGTCAGACACGCCCAGAAGCAGGGGCCCCAGGAAGAGGTCACCCCGTCTCCCGGGTGCAGCGTGGGAAGCGGCCAGGCCCAGGGCGAGCCCCGGCAGCTCTTCCCTCAGCCCCCTGTGGGGGTGGGGGGCACAGGAGGGCGCTCTTGCTCAGACAGGGCACAACTGCATGAAGAGCCCAGCTTCCTCTGGGAACAGCCTCAGGAAGGTGCTTTTGGATCTGCTACCAGGTATAACTTTAAAACAACTATAATAGTAAAAAAAAAAAAAAAAAGAGAGAGAAAACCACCTTTCCCAGAGGACATCGGGGAGCATCAAGCTGTTGAAGCTCCAGAGGCAAGCTCGGAAGCAGGGAGGGTTGAGGCCGAAGACTGGGGGCGGGGCCTCTCTAAGCCCCTCCTCCACACGTGCAGTTCTGTGGGGCTCTCGCTCCAGTGTTGGGACGTTTTAGAACCTGTGAACCCGCCTGCATGGCTCATTCAAAAGAGTGTCCTCTGTGTCCCCAGGGCAGGTCCTGAAGGACAGGATGGGGACCTGGAGTGGGGGTTCAGGGCCCCAGAAGATTTGTGGAAAGAGTGTGCAAGGTGCTTTCGAGCCTGCATTTGCACACTTGAAAGCATTCAGGATACCCAGGGTGGCAGGGGTGGGGCCAAGCGGAGGGGGCGGGCCAGGGGGGCCCGCCTTGGAGGTGGCCCAGATACTGGGGGTGCTCAGGCTTCTCCCAGGCAGCAGGTGGGATCCCGCCGACCTGGCACGTACTTCGTGCCCTTTGTTTCCTTCCCCTGAAACAGGTGTAAGTCCAGGGCTCGGAGCTCCTCCAGCTCCTAGTTTGCCAGGACCGCGGTCACGAGTCTTACACGCAGCCCATTCCTTCCAGCAGAGGTTCCAGCACTGACCTGTGTTAGTTTGCAGGAGTTGCTGTGGCAGCATACCACCGGCCGGGGGGCTTAGCAGAAACTTACTGCCTCTGTGAGGAGGTGAAGTCTGAGACCCAGGGGTTGGCGGGGTCGGCTCCTTCCCAGGCTGCAAGGAGCTCCCTGCTGCTGGTGGTTTGTCAGTGATCTTTGGCAATCACTGTCTTGTAGATGCACCACCCTGATCTCCACCTTCACCTTATACGGCCTTCTATCTGTTTGCCCATCTGTGTCCAGAATTCTCATTTTTTTATCATTTAAAAAAAGATTTCATTTATTCATTTTTAGAGAGAGGGGAAGGGAGTGAGAGAGAAAGAGAAGCATCAGTGTGTGGTTACCTCTCACACGCCCCCTACTGGGGACCTGGCCCACAACCCAGGCCTGTGCCCTGACTGGGAATGGAACCAGCAACCCTTCGGTTTACAGGCTGGTGCTCAATCCACTGAGCCACACCAGCCAGGGCCCAATTTCTCTTCTTAACCACACCTGTCACGTTGGCTTGGGGCCCACCCTAGAGACCTCGTGTCAACTCGATGGCCTCTGTAAAGACCTCTCTCCAAATATGTCACATTCTGGGGTTCCGGAGGTCAGGGTTCCAACATATGAATTTGGGGTGGGGGACACAATGCAACCCATAGCACGATGGTGGCTGTTTGAGCCGGAAAGGGCTTGTGGGCCGAGGGACCGTGGGACACATGCCCTGGTCTCCGTGGTTCTGCAGGAGGAGGCAGAGTCCTGGCAGCCTCGCCTCCGTGCCTTGGGGAGCTGTTCCAGGCGAGCAGCACCAGGTTCGTTTGAAAATAGGTCAACGGGATGCGAAGGTAATCTGAATTCCGAGAGGCGCAGTTTGGCTTCTGCAACAGCAGCGTCTCCCTGGGCTGGCAGAATGACCCGTGTGGGGGAGGCCACAGGACAAAGACGCCGCCTGTACATTTGTTGCAGTTGATTCACAGATGTTCACAGCAGATGTCTTGGACACCGACGAAGCGGCGGAGCTGGACGGAGGAGCCGCTTTGCTCTGCTCCTCGTGTTTCGGTGTTTTAATTAACTGGCTGGCTGGAGTGGTGTTGGGGGCAATGTGCAGAGCCCGCAGCTGGCGTTGCTGCTGCACGAGTGTTCCAGGGTCAGAGAGGGGAGGGACGAGGCCAAAGCCCTCGTCGGCTGCACCCCAGGTCGTCCTTGTGAGCGCCCCAATCCATAGCGGGATTGTAAAGTTGAGCCCTCCCTTTGCTGCCTGCTCCGAATTGGCCGCACCCATCAATTTTATCTGCATAATTTCAAGCATCATTAATAGTACATGGCACGAGGAGAAATTACTGAGCTCTTCCTCCATCCATGAGTGAAATTGGGTTTAGTAGAAAATTAGTTGACTTAACTGGCAAATGATGGAAGTTGGAGAGGAGAGCATATAAGGAAGGGGGATGAGGAATGGAAATTCTCGGCCGTCAGCCGTGCAGCCCCTGTGGGAATCAGCATCCTGGCCTTTCATTTGTTCTGTGTTTGCTCAAGGGAGACGCCGGTGAGGGTCCCCAGGGAAGGGCACAGGTAGGGACCACATGCCACTCAGCCTGGTGTGGCCAAGCTGCAGCCGGCTGAACCCTCCGCGGAGCCAGCCTGTGCCGGCTGCCGGGGGTGCACCCACTGGGATCGGGCTGCAACCCGGGCCAGAACCAGGCTGACGTGGCAAGCTCCAAGCAGCCACTGGGTGGATGGTTCAGCCATTCTCTGAGGCAAGAGAAAAGCACTGGGCTTGGGGGGCTCCAGGGAAGACCTCCAATCAGGATTCAGACGTGCTGATTTAGAGGTGCCCACGCGGAGGCAGCTGGGTAAGGGGCCCGAGGTTCAGAATGGAGAGGGCATCTCGGCAGCTGACCGAACTGCACTCAAGTGTCGGTGAAATTGCCAAATGATAGGAAAAATGGTCTGAGAGCCAAACCTGCAGAAACCGCAACATTCCCGAGCCCATTAGTGATCCAACCCTACTCCTAAAGCGGCTCATTAGCTGCCCACTTAAGTCCCCAGCCACCTTTACGTCCCCTTGTTCTGTTGGGGAGAGACAGTGGCTGCTCTAGTAATGGGCCATGGGGACAGAGGCAGGGCGGTGCCACTGTGCTCAGGGGACAGGCACAGGCAGGGCGCAGGGACAGCAGCTCCTGTAATGAGACAGGTCCGGGGAAGCGAGACTCCCAGGGTCTCGGCAGCACCTGGAGCCAGCGATCTGGAGGCCTTTGTAGGAATTCTTTTTAATTAGGCCCTTCCCACGCAGAGAAGGGAGAGAGGGGGGCGGTTGTTTGTTCTAGAATTTGAGCACTGCCTGGAGAGGTTATTTCCAGCTGCAGACCAAAGGCACAGGGAAAGATAAAACCAGAGGATTTTTAGCCTAGAAGGGACAGTGGAGACCTGCCCAAACGTCGAGGGTGGGAATGGAGGTGACACAGGGCGATTCAGGGTCTTGTGCGAAGCCGCCAGCCCGTCCACACACCGGGGATGCTCTCCTTGTGCCCGAACTCCCCTCCCGAGAGTCTGCTCGCGGCACGGTCCCTGGAGGGCCTCTCTGTGCGGGGAGGGTGTCTTGTAGACGTCTCCAGTGGGCACCTGGACCAGGAAACCCTGGAAAGAACCCACACACTGTACTTGGCTGCCCTGCTCCCTCCCTTCCCAGGAGTCAGCCCATGTCTGGTGCCAGCCTCACCTCCTACCGGCCCCCGTGATTGTCCTGGGCTGTAGGGATGGGGGGGGGGTTAGGGTGTGTGGTTCCACGTCCTGCAAACACGGGCCAGTTGGGACGGTGGGTTCCTGCAGCCTGTGGGTCCCTGGGGGCTCAGACTCTGAGGGGCTCTTCTCTCAGTAACTTAGGGGTGCCGCCAGGCCGGGGGAACTGCCCGCTCACCGTGCCCCTGCCCTTCGACCTCATCTACACCGACTACCACGGCCTGCAGCAGATGAAGCAGCACATGGGGCTGTCCTTCAAGAAGTACAGGTGAGCTCGCGGGGCCCCAGAGGTGGGGACACTGGCCGCAGCCCCGCCCCCACCCCCTGGCCCCACATCTGGCTGCCAGCTGGTCCAGGCTGGGAGGATTGCCAGGACCCAGGTTCCGCTGTGGAGGGAAAGCCTTTCTGTCTTCTGTCCCCCCACCCCCGCCTCACCCCTGCCCCACCCCCGCCCCACCTAATCCCTTCTCTAAGGAGCTCTGCCTCCTGGCCCCCCTCTGACCTTGAGTCACAGGGAGTCACCCCAGGGCTGCGTGGCGGGCTGAGGGCCGGGGTCAGAGAGGAACTGCAAGGAGGGGCACAGGGGAAGGGGACAGTGGCCAGTGACTGTGACCTCTGCTGTGAGGGGTCAGCCTCCCCCGTCCCCGAGGCAGGCCAGTGCCATCCCTCTGGTCTCCTCAGCCAGTGGGACTCCGAGTTAATGCGGCACTGAGAGCCCTGCTATTCATTACGTTCGCTCCTGTCTCACCGGCTCTCCCACATGATTTCATTAGGGAAAAAGTGACAGGCGGCCTTATTGCTTTTATTATTAATGCGTGTTCTCCATGCATGGCGCCTCCCCCACTCCCTCCCCCCCTTCTCTGGGGGCATAGTGCTGACTTCAGCAGTCTGCGGACAGTTCTGGGGCCCTGGGAAGGAGGCGGGGTGAGGGAGCTCCTTGTGGGGGCGTCTGAGTGTCAGGTGCCCACTCCAGGGGGTGGGACAGGTGGAGGGGCCGTTGGGACAGAGCCTCTGCTCAGCTGGGAGGTCCGCCTGAAGTGGCCAGACTCGCAGCGGGGACTTGGATGTGCTGCTTGCTCAGATATGTGCCAGTGACAGTGGCCGCTCCCCGCCCCCGTTGGGGCCCCGCATCTCAGCGGCATCATCGGCCAGGCCCGTCCTGAGGGTGGCAGGCTCCTGGGCAGGGGGCTGTGGACTGGCTGCTCCCAGAACAGTGCAAATCGTGCGGGTGACCCCTGGGGCAGCGTGGAGGGACCCCCACTCCAGGCAGTGCCTTCCCTCTGAGGCCCCCTGGGCACACAGCTTTGGAGTTAGGGATTCATGGCCCAGGGGTCTCCACGCGGCCCCGAGGTAGCCGGCTGCTGTTCTCCCTGCTGGGTGGGTAGGGAAGCTGACCCAGAGAGGTTACTGCGCCTGCCTGTGGCCACACAGCCGGGCAGTGTCTGAGCCGGAGCTCTGGCCTCACAGTGCACTGCACTGCCCAGCCGCTGGCGGTTACAGCGCCCACTCGGGGCGACCCCAGCTCAGGGACACATTGGAGTTGCTGACTCTGGTTCCTGGTCTCCTGGGGCAGGTGCCGAATCCGGGTCATCGACACCTTCGGGACAGAACCCGCGTACAACCACGAGGAGTACGCCACGCTGCACGGCTACCGGACCAACTGGGGCTACTGGAACCTCAACCCCAAGCAGTTCATGACCATGTTCCGTGAGTGTCCCCACCGCAGGGCGTGGGGGGCGGGGCAAGGAGGGAGCAGGGTGGGGCCCCCGGGCAGCGGTGCAGAAAGGCTCCCGCTGTGACCCTCCAGCACCAGCAGGACCTGGCCGTTGCCCCCAGGACTGGAGGGTTCTGTGGCCTTCCAGAAGGAGAGGCCGAAAGTGGACTGGGTGGAGGAGGGGAAGGACCGGCAGGCTTTCCTAAGCCGAGGGAACAGATGTAGTGGAATGGATGTAGAAGGCAGTGGAGGGTTCTGGAAATCCAGGTGCTGCAGCATTGGGGATAATGGGACAGGAGGCTGCGGGTAGAAGCTGCCCGCCCCACCCCCCACCCCCGTGTGGAAACTGTCAGATGCCGGGCTTCAGGCACCCACCGCAATTACAGCCGAGTTCCGCTCCCTTTAATGCGAGACTACAACTCAGGCGCACACGAACTTGGCCTCTTACACGCGGCACACTGAAAATGCTCTAACCTTTTCCTGACGACCCAAGGTCAGCTCTGTCCTCCTGGGGCAGGGGCCTGCCCTCTGGGGACGGCGAGGTGTGGGAGCCAGGTCCCCTGGCCGAGGGGCCCCCTCTCCTGTCGCTGTTTGAAGTGACGGACGTCTTCCCTCCTTGTTGGGAGCTGGGGCTGTCACTTTGCATTGTCCCCAGCGTGTCTGCCTCCAGCAGCATCGCTGGCATCTCATCTGCAGCCCTTTGAAGGCTGGGGTCGGAGAGCCGTAAGCACCTTCCCCAGCACTGGATCCAAATGAGGAGCAGACCTGGTTCTGGGCGGGGTCCTCAGGAACCTGCTCGAAGAAAAGTAGCTGAGAGAGGGGAAGGGAGGGAGACAGAGAGGGAGCGAAACATGGATATGAGAGATGCATCGACCCTTGGCCTCTCGTGCGCCCCCAACTGGGGACCTGGTCTGCAACCCAGGCTTGTGCCCTGACTGGGAATCGAACTGGTGACCCTTTGGTTTGCAGGCTGATACTCAATCCACTGAGACACACCAGCCAAGGAAAAAGAACCATCTGTCTTGGGTGCAGGAGGTCTTGGTTGGACCTGCCCTCCGGGTGTTGGCTGTTAGGGGCAGAGGTGTTTTCTGGGAGCATAAGTAATGGCTTGACTGGATCTCAGATGGTTGGGAAGGCGGGAACGTTCCTTGGAGCCCAGATGAGGAAACTGAGGCCCAGAGAGGTAGAACATCCCAGCTGAGGTCACACGGCTCCGTGGGGACCAGACTCATTCCCCAGGGGCCATCGCAAGGTTGTAGGAAGCTTCTCTAAGAGAAGAGTGTCCTACAGGTCATCTGGCAACACTGTGCTCCAGGAGAATGACTGGTGAGGGGCAGGTCCCTGGAAGGAAAGGAAGTGGGGGCGGGGGGTGCTCCAGAAGTGGGCACAGTGTCAGTGGTAACAGAGAGGAACTGCGGAGGCAAGAGCCTTGGGTTGCCACCTTCCTCAGAAGGAAGCAGTGAGCTAGGAGGCTGGTAGGAGGGGCTTGGAGGCCAGGGGAACGGGGATGGGGGTTCAGTTAGCAAAGGTTCCTGAGTGGACATTGGATACTGTAGTTCAGGGTTCACTGCAGGTTCCTGAGCTAGGAGACGGCACGGAGAAAAGATGTTTTGAGGCACAGTGTTCCGGCCAACCGCCGACAGCCAAGCGGGCTGTGCCGGAGAAGGGCAAGGCCGAGCTGGGTTAAGAGGCTTCTGTAATAAGCTACATTGAGCACTTGAAGGGTTGTCCGGGGGGGGCAGCCCTCTGGACGTGGAGGCCCACGCCTGGCAAACTCCTGCTCATCCTCCAAAACCCCAAGTGCCATGTCTCCTCCGTGCCGTCACTCTCACTGGCCCCCGCATCTCCTACCCGGTAGAATGTTTTTTGTAACTTAAGTACAGCTAATTCTGTTAAAGCGTGTATTGAATTACACGAGAGTGGTTTGCTAGTACATTTATTTCTGCTGATAGATTGTGGATCACTGGAAAAGGAGCCACTGGCTGATTTATCCTTATTTCCCTAGAGCCTGCCGAGGTCCTCAGGAAACGTTAATTGGTTGAATAAATTAAAGAAAGAAAGACCAAAAACCAGAGAGGCGTGCCGGTTGTAATGACAGACCGGTGCAGGGAGACTTTCACAACCAGCAGCTGTTCTTCCCCGAGAGGCCGTGGGGGCGGGGCGGTGCCTCTCCCAGCCTCGCTCTTGCCCGGGGCCCCGCAGCTCTGCCTCACACGGGTCCCTGCTACTTTAGTTGGTTGCAGTACTTCCCAGGCCACGCCCACCAGTTACATAGCTAACTGCGCCCTAAACCTGCCTCTTCTGGTGGAGCCGGTGCAATGGGGGGGTTCTTCAGCTCTGAGAATCGGTAGGAAATGGCTACTGGGAAGAGAGGTGGGGTGACAGCCCCCCCGCCCCCCACTTTGGGAGCCAGAGGGGAGAGAGAGAGGATGGGGCCGAGGCAGGCACCTGGTGTCAGGGAGGGTCTGGTCCACTTCCGGCGCCTGGGCAGAGCCTCCTGAGACGGGGGAGCTGCCAGTGCCCCGACTGTCACAGAAATAGCTCCCGGCCTCCGGGGCCCTGCGTGTGCCTCTGAGGCTCTAGAGAAGAGACCTGTTGTCCTGTAACCAGCAAACACCCCGCCACTCGGTTGTTGGGTTTTAGTCCCAAGAATCCAGGGGCTTTCTGGGCACTTTGACAGGAAACTGTCACCTCTTCTCAGATGGGCCAGATATCGGGTGTGGCTTTTTGTGGGTGTTGGAAATGCTGCATTATATCTACACATTTGAGTAAAGTATACATCCCAGTTTCAGAAATGCCAGAATCTGCAAACCGTGTGTCTGAAGTGAAGAGATTGGGTGTTGGAATCAGGGCCCTTCTGAGAAGGCGGCGGGGCTGCTGCCACCCTCCTTGCCGCCGCCTCAGGGAGAGACTAATGGACTATTCTATTCATCCCCAGGGAGAGACCTTGTGCCTTGCAAATGACGGCACTTACCCTACACGGCCATGCCTGCCACGTGGGGCGGATGCTGGTCAGTGACGGCGCTCCTTGTGGCCGAGCGGCTGGAGCAGGAGGCTCGGACTCGGCGCCCCAGCACTGGGTTCGGGCACCAGGAAGTCAGAGCACGCCCTGCCTTGTAACAGACACCTGACCACAGGGGAGGAGCTGGCCGCGCGGGGAGGACCCGGCCAGGGCTTCCAGGAGGGGAGGGCCTGGCATTAGAGTGGGGCCTGAAGGCCCAGGAGGATGGTCTCCCCAGAAGGGGGAGGAGGGCACCCTGGGCAGGGGGACAGCAGGGGCAGGTGACGGCAGGTGTGAAAGGGGAGATGCGTGGCAGTCAGGAAGCAGCGGGCTCGGTTCTCCCCGGTGCCCAGGACACCGACGGGGGCAGAACACAGCTCCCCAAGCTTGAGGGGCTCAGCGTCCGACAATAACAGGGAGCAGTCAGCGCATGATGCGATGTCAGGGCAGTGAGCACCGTGGCAGGAAAGAGCAAGGGGACAGAGTGACTGGGGCCGGCAGAGACCCCCCAGCAGGGCCATGTGAGCAGAGACCTGGGTGACAGGGAGCTCCAGGCGGGGTCTGGGTGGGGGTGGGGGTGGGCAGATGGTTGTGGGGACTTTGCTCACCGGTCGGGCTGCGGCAGGGCTTTGTGCGGAGGACCGACCTGATCGCATCTCAACGTGAAAGGCTCTCTCTGGAGAAAATGACGCCAAGAGACCCCCAGAAATGTGGGGCAGCGGCCACAGTGGCCGGCCAGGGCTGCAACATGGGTGGGTGGGTGGGCGGAGCGAGAGAAAAGGGAGGAGCCTAAGCTTCTGGCTGCAGCAAACTAGGGAAGGCCAAGGCTGCTGGGCTGTGCTGGCCCTGGGCTGCACCTCAGTTCCTCGTCTGAAAACAAGCAGGGGGATGCAGGCTCCCTTCTGCCCCCGAGGCTTTGTGACCGTCTCTGGGAGAGGGAGACACCCAGGACCAGGGCATGATCTCCCCATGACACCCTTCACCCCCCAACCCCCTTCCCATCCTGCCAATGGGGACCCTCCCATGGGGCCGGTCCCGGGTGACCTGGCCTGTGACCCCTGGTGATTGGTGACTGGGGACCCCGTCTGACCTGTGGTCTGGCTGCAGCTCACACCCCGGACAACTCCTTCATGGGCTTTGTGTCCGAGGAGCTCAGCGAGGCGGAGAAGCAGCTCATCAAGGGCGGCAAGGCCGACAACATGGCCGTGGTGTACGGCAAGGAGACAAGCATCTGGAAGGTGAGCAGACCCCCGGCGCTGGCCGCCCCGCCTGACCCCCAGCGCCTGCCCCCCCGCACTGCATGGTGGAAAACACCCCCTAGTAACGGGTCAGAAAAGAGGTCCCCAACTGCCATGGGAAACACCGGCCTGGGGGCTGGTCATTTGTCCCCCTCCCTGTCCCTACTCTGCCACCAATGCAGTTGTCCTGTATTGAACAGTGACTTAACCCTCCACCTCCCTAGGATGGATCAGCAAACACCATCGGCCCTGCGAAGGGGGTTTAGGCCAGGCTTGGGGACGCTGTGGGGTGGGGCCCCCGTGGAGAGGGCAGGAGAGGAGCAGGGCCTGGACCCCATTTTGGGGGCAGGGTCCCCGAGAAGCACTGCCCGTGGGGAAGGTTGCTTGCTCACTGACCTGTCCTTTCTCCTCTTTTTCTGCACCCCTGGCAACGAGGCAGCTGCAGGTACGGCGACCGTTTGCTGCATGTTCCTCCTCTTCCTGCCTCCCCTCCCCCAGCCACCTCCCCGGGGTGCTCCTGAGGGGGGCTTGCTGGGGTTCGCGGCTCCTGTGGATGGACCGAGGTGGGGCGGGGAGGCAACAGTCAGCTTGGCGTGGCGCGGGGCAGCTCCCAGGGCAGGTGATTGACCTCGGGCCTCGCGTGGGGCGAAGGTCAGTGGTGACGGTGCCGACCGTGGGAAGCGTGGATTGAGCGGCACCGGCACCCTGCGTCAGGCCGCCTGTCCCGTGGTTTTCTTCCTTAGTGGCCTTTCCGTGGCACTGGTCGGGGTAAGGCTCAGCGGGCAGTGACTCAGGCAAGGTGGACGTCGGTTTTCCTACCCGTTCACAAACTCCGGAGGCGTCGGGCCGGGCTGTGAGGGCCTCCGTGGCCTGGTTGACCCGTGGCCTGGTTGACCTGCTTAGTTTCCGCCCCCAGTCCTGCCTCGTGGTTCAGGAGGGCCGCAAACTTGACAGTCACTCCATGTGCCTCCCAGTCAGTGAAGGGGAGGAGCGGCCGAGAAGGGCCAGGTTTGGGATGTCCCACGCATCTCTTCCCCACGCCGCACCTGGCTGCATCCAGTCCGTGACCCTGCCTGTTCTGGGTGATGCTCAGCCCCGGTTTCGTGTGACTGAGGAAGGAGCAAAAGGCAGAGCTTACGGGGACACCTCATGGTCTTGCCACCACCACCTCATGGGAACAGCAGTTGCTAGTACGCGTCCACCCAGAGCTCACTAGGTGCTCACTTCTCCGCCACACGTGTTCTGATGCGGTTTATAAATGAGGCTGCCAGGCACGGGAAGTTAGGGTGACAAGCTGATGACAGCTGGGGCTGGGGTTCGAACCCTCATCTAACTCCAGAGCCTGGACACTTGACCCCGACTCCACACAGCTCCTCCCCACCCCAGTCATGAAGCCCTGGGTAATGGCAGAGCGAAGCTCCGGAGGCGGGAGGAAAGGGCCCAGACCTGGGCTGGATGGGGGCGCCCACCCTGGGGTGTGGGGAGTGGGAACGGAGGTCCTTCTCTAGGGTGGCTGATGGGTTGGCTGCATGGAACCCCAGAGCACCAGGGAAGAGGAGGGCTCAGACTGTCTGCTTTTACCAGAAAGCACTGTTCGGAACGTCCCCCCGAGAAGGAGAGGCCCTGCAGTCAGGGAAGAGAAGGGTTTTCTCTGCAGCTCAGAGACTCTCTGGTAGCCAGGAGAACGCTCGTCAGCAGCGGGCTTTGAAGAAGCTGGTCAGCACTTGGCTCTGGCCTCCGTGACCCAAGCAAGTCAGAGGTGGCCAGTGGGAGACAAAGCAGCACCCAGGACTCCTGCTGGCCAGAGTTCAGGGTCCAGGCAGCGGCTGGCTGAAGAGTGGAGGGGGCGGAGGGAGGGGCGGCGAGTTGACCGCATCCGTATGGGAGCAGCCTGAGGGTCAGGGGTAGAGGGGGTTTTGGCGGCCGCTGTGCGAGGAGGCCTGTCCTATCCTGCACCCCCGGGAAGCAGGCGTGGGTGCTGCTGTTTAATGGGAGTGTGAGGTCCTGGGTCAGGGGCAGGAGCGAGGGACTGAACGGAGGCCGCTGGTTGGCGCAGAGCGGCCCTGCTGTCCGCCGGAGGAAATGTCCAGGCCTCAGCTGGCCACTGAGCCGGCGGTTTCCAAGCTGCAGGTCGCCGCCCATGGATAGGTCCTGACATCCGCCCAGAGCTCTGGGCGTCTGCTGCCCAGCTTTACCAAGGAGTGATTGACACAGGAAAATTGTGTGCGCCCACAGTGCACAGCGTGAGGGCTTGACAGACTGGCACACTGCGAAAAGAGGGTGCAATCAAGCTGCTCAGCGCGCCCATCCGCTCGTATAATTACCTGGTGTCTGGGTGTGGTGAGGCCACTCCGGATCGCCTCCCAGCGAACTCCAAGTGCGCAGTACAGTGTGTCTAACTGCGGCCGCCCTGCTGACCCCTGACCGTGATCACCTCACAACCTCGAGTGTGCACCCTCGGACCCGCGCCTCTCCATCTCCTCCATCCCCCACTACTGTCCTCTCTGTTTCTACCAGTTCAGCTTTTTAATTCCACCTATAAGCGAGACAATACAGTATGTGTCTTTTCCTCCCAACTCAGTCTTAACTAGCCTTTTAAATAAATATCGAATGACAGAAGTAATAGAATTGAAGAATATTTAGAGGGCCTGCTGTGTATTGTGATTTTGTGAAGAAGCTTCACGTGTGTGTGATTAGGTGGGAAAAGTTGCTGAACAGCATGTGCAACACGACCCCCTTTGTGCACACGTGTACGCTTTAAAGAGAACATGTGCATGCCAACGACACATAAAAGGTTCGCAGAAGGGGCGGGAGACACTGTTAATGCCAGTGGCCTCTGGTCACGGCGTCCGGAGGTTGAATCGGAGCGTTTGGGGACATTTTCTTCATCCTTTGTTGTGGCTGTCGATTGGCTTTTTTTCCGCGAGAGTAATTCTGTTTTAAAATAAATAGTCCTTTTCTTTTCAGTGCGATCACAGCATTTTGGGCATAGAATAGACCCTCCTGATAGATGGTTTTCATTTCTTTTTCTGGCCTGTTTTGTTCTTTTTCCTCTTGGTCCTTATCTTCTCTGACGAAGACGCATGTTTTTGAACCCAGTGCCCATTCGCTGACTGAGCTCACTCTTCAGCTGAGTGGCGGCCCTAGTGATGCTTCCTTAGTCTGCCAAAGTCTGATATAAATCCACACTTCGACCTTTTACGAGGTAACGAAAAGAACCTTAGAATATTTTCATGGTACTCTCTGCTCACTGATTTTTCAGCTGGTGAGCCACAAGAATTCGTAGAGCGTGCAACACCTGCTAATTAGTCAGGGGCACCGACCTCATTTCCCTTAGATTGTCGACTTCAGAAATGGCAACAGCCAGCACAACAATAGCCACTAACATGAATGAATCAAAATTGTACCTACACTTGTGTCGTCTCGACAAAATGTATTTTTTGGTGTGCCGCAGAATTTTAGTCATTAGTTTGTGCCATGAGATCAAAAGTGTCGAAAGTCACTGCTCTCGTGTACGTGCTCCTATTTTATTTTGAGTTTCTAAAATTTTTCTAAAGATGCCCTCATTTCGCCTCTGCTCTTGGAGGGTGTGTGTGCCATGTACGGAATTCCAGCGTGGGGCTTGCTTCCCTTCGGCGTCCTGAACGCACTCCATTGTCCTCCGGCTTCCCTCGTGTCTGCAGAGGAGCGGTGTGCGTGGTGCTGGGACTGCTCTGAAGGCCACGGGCTCCGCCCTCTGCCTCTCCTGCCACCTCCTGCTGGGTTTTCCTCCCTGTCGCAAAGACATGCTCCGTGTGGGTGTCTTTGGACATACTCCGCATGGCGTCCATAGTTCTTTTGGAGTCTGTGGTTTGATCTTCCGCACCTTCTGCAAAATTCTCAGCTCTTCTCTTTAGATGTTGCTCCCGGCCCAGTCTCTCGCCGCTACTTCTCCGACTCCATCCACACACCCGTTAGAGCCGACGTTCAGTCCCGCCACTTCCTACTTTCCACCTTGGGTGTCTCTCTGCTCCTATTCGGATGTTTCTTTTGTTCTTCCACTGGGCGGATTCTCTTCAGCTGCATTTCATCCACTGTTAAGTCCATCCAGTGACTTCTTCATTCCAGTCATTATGGTTTTAATTTCTAGCATTTCCACTTGGTTTCAAGTCTTAACTTCTATTTCCTTGACTATATCCAGCGAGTTATCTTCAAGTCTGTAGCCGGTAGCTAACGCCAGCTTCCAGATACCTCCGGACCTGTTCTTACTGTGTGTTCCTCTTGGTTTGGGGCCATATAGTCCGGTATCCCCATGTATTAGATTCTTTAAAATCAAGGCATTTAAATTTTTTAATGAAAAAATCTGGTTTTTTCAGCTTTCTTGGGGCGTAATTGATAGCACACTGAACGTGTTTAAAGGGTGCAATCTGAGGCTTTACTGTGTTTGCGCACACCTGTGAAACCAGGACACAGCCGTAGTGGTAACTAGCGCCCCCTCCCGGGGGGTTTTCTCCTTCCCATGGTCACCCTTTCTCCCCTCCCTCCTCGTCTCCCATCATCAGTGGTCTGCACTCTGTCGCTTACAGGTTGGCTTTCACTTCCTGTAACTTTACATAGGTGAGGTCATACGGCATGTGCCCTTTTCCACGTGGATTTTCTCCCTGAGGACAGTTATTTTGCGATTCGTCCATGTTTTTGCTTGTTGCAACACGTTATCCCTTTTCATCGCTGAATAATGTTCCCCGTCATGGATACACCACACTTTGTTTATCTCTTCACCTGCCGATGCACATTTGAGTTCTTTCCAGTATTTGGCTCTTACCAAGAAAGCTGCCGTGAACATGGGTGTGCGCATCCCTGAGTGGACGTGTGCGTCCATTCCCCTTGGCGACGCACCTAGGGGTGGCGTGGCCGGTGATCTTGCCGCTGAACTGTGGAACTGCTGAACTTTTTACGAAAGTGGTTGTGCGCTTTTCAACCCTGCCAGCGAAGGCTGAGACTTCCGGTGGCTTCACGCGTTCAGCGTGCATGGCGTGGCGGTCTCTTCGACCTTAGCCGTCCTGACGGACATGTGGGGTCCTCTTCTTGTCCGTGATTCCCTAATGACACGTGACGATGAGGATGTTTTTGGGTGCTTCTGTGTCTTCCACTCATTTTTGCCGGAGTGTCTTTTCAAAAATGTTGGAAAAGATTGGTTTGTTTATTTTCTTGTTATTGAGTTGTTAGAGTTCTTTATGTTCGGGATACGTCCTTTACCAAGTATATGCTTTGTGAATATTTTCTCAGAATCTGTGGCTTGTGTTTCTCCTAACAGCATCTTTCAAAGAGCAAAAGTTCTCCATTTTAATGAAGCCGGAAGCTTTCTCCCATGGATTGTGCTTTTGGTATCGTCTCCAAGAAATCTTTGTCTAACCAAGGTCACCACGATTTTTCTCCTCATTTTTCTTCTGTGAGTTGTATAGTTTTAGGTTTTACAGTTAAGTCTATGATCCAATTTAAATAAGCTTTCATAGATGGTATGAAGGAAAAAGTTATTTTTCCTGTTTTTTTTTTGTATATGGTTATCCAGTGTTTTGTGACCACTCTTTGAAAAGACTGTCTCTTTTTCTATGACATGTCTTTGCACCTTTGTCACACACACGGGGCTACTTCTGGGTTCTCTGTCCTGCCCCACTGATCCGTCCCGATGCCAGCATCACACCGTCGTGACTGCTGCAGCTTTATAACCAGCCCGGAAGTCGGGGAACGTGGCGGCTCCCCTTCCTCCTCTTCTTCAAAGCTGTTTTGTGTAATCACGGTCCTTCCCATTTTAAACTGGATTTTAGAATCAGCTTGTCAGTTTCCATGACGAAGCCTGCAGGGGTTTCACTGGTTACTTTTTCTGGTGCCTCGGAGTTCCGGGACACGAGTGTGAAAAGTTGTGGAGATCATCGGGGGTCTTTTCTTCCAGCGAGGGGTCACATTTACTCTTGGCTCGTGGCCTCACTGTCCCAGGTGACCCCAGTCGATGGCAGTGGTTGAAATGATTTCTAATAGATTCAGCCCCTGCAGGGGCCACCCCGCCCTGCTCCCCCCTTCCTCCAGGTGCGATTCCTCAGAGCTCCCACGGAGTGTGGGGTTCCCGCTCTTTGTCAGGCCTTGAACTCTGCCTCCTGCCCCCAAGCTCTGCAAGGCAACCGGAAGCTCTGCTCCCTCGTACAGGGGCTGCCCCTGGAATTAGCAGGTGCCCCCGGGGGCATGCTGACTCCCACACTGGCCTCAACAACCTCCTTTCCTTCTCCGGACCTTGACCTCGGAACTGTCACTCTTGTCAGAGTCTCAGGACCCTCACCGACGCGTCCCCATGGCCCCACCTCTCCTGGCTGTTTGCAGAGGCTGGGCCGATCCGCATTCAGCAGTGTGGGGGCTCCTGGTAAAAAATGTATCGTTTTTTAGTTTCGTGATATGAATTATTAATTAGTTTGATGTCCATTGAAAACATTCCTCAAGAGCTGTGGTTTACTGACCAAACCTGGGCAGATGCTCCTTGCTGTCTGACCTCCTGCCGGCTGGCCAGCAGACTGGGGGGGATCATGGGTTCCTTTTCTCTGGTCCCACCCTTCTCCACGACCCAAAGGTGCTCTCAGCTTCTGCCTCCCTCTGCTCTTCGAGCCTCAACCTCTCCCCTCCCCCAGCCCAGAACTAGACCCCAACAGCAGGCTCCTGCCTCTCTCTGTTGGGGTCCTCCACTGACCATGGCTCCCAGCCCAGGGCCCTGGGCGCACGGTCGGCGGGGGACTCGGACACTGAGCCGTCATCTCTTTACCTGTGCTCTGCCTCCCTCTCTCCCCTCCCCCTGCTGGCAGGTCTGTTTCCAGATTCTGGGCTCTCGGGTCTGGAGAGGCCGAGCCTTTGCTAGTCTGAGGGTTTCCGCTCCCGGGTGTTCTGGGTCGGGTGCTCTGTCCCATCCCCGCTGTGCTCCCGGCACTGAGCCCAGTGTCAGTGCACAGGCGGTGCTCAGTCACCTGCTGCTGGGAGGGAGGGGAGGTGGAGGGAGGGAGGGGGCAGGGGCGAGCAGGTGGAGGGCAGATCCACAGACGTGTGGATGGACAGAGGGAAGGGTGAAGGGATGGGTGGAGGAGGAACGGACTGGACGGATGGGGTATCTGGGCCCCAGAGAGTTCCACACCTCCTCAGAGGTCCCTGGAGGCTGTTGGGGGTTCAGCGGAGGCCAATGCATTTAAATGCTGGTCCCCACAGGTCCCTTGGGAAAGAAAGCAGTTCCACAGCTAAAAATAGCCCTGCAGCCTCTGGGCTGGGCCTGCCTCCGCAACTCACAGGGGCAGAGAGGAGAGGGGCTTCTCCCCTGGGTCACACGGCGGGCTAGTGGCCGACCTAGGACCGGCTGCACCTCTTCCACCTTCCAGACAGGGTGGTCTGGAAGGCCCCCACGGGCTCTGCCGTCCATGGCGGGGGTGAGGCTCCATCTCCCCTCCTCCTGCAGGGCAAGGAGAAGGTCCTGGGCATCCTGAGCAGGTACATGGAGGTCCACGGCACCGTGTTCTACGAGAGCCAGCGGCCCCCCGAGGTCCCCGCCTTTGTGAAGAACCACGGCCTCCTGCCGCAGCCTGAGTTCCAACAGCTGCTGCGCAAGGCCAAGGTGAGCCTGCCCCTCACCCGCTCACCCAGCGCGGCGTGGACTCCGAGCAGGTTGCCCCATATGCCTGCCGTCTCCACTCATGGCTCTGTCCACGTGTGGACAGTCCCCAGCTCCCTCTGCTGTCCTGGGCTTCATATCTGGGCCCCCTGGGGGCTGGGCAGAGCTGGGGGCACCCGCCAGGCAGGAGAGGCCGCACAGTGACAGGCTCAGTGATGGGGAGGAGGACTTGGGCCGCCCACCTGCCCCCCATTGGTACCACCCAGCCCAGGGGACCCTGAGCAGGCCTGGTTCTGGGCACAGGCAGGAGAGCAGGGGATGGGGGGGTGGGGGCTCCTGGCTGGAGAACTTCAGGCCCTGAGGTCTGACCCACTGCGCCGTATCCACTGCTGGAGCAGCGACTGGCGCGGGGCAGGAGCCTGCAGGTGGGCCCTGAAGTGCCGGCCGAGGCTGGAGCGTCCCGAACCGGCTGCCGGGTCCTCTGCGGATCTCATCACAGCTTCATCCCCTGGCATTGTGGACGTTTCGTGTGTGGGCCTGCGTAGGGTGGGGGTGGGGAAGGGCACATGTGTGCTGCGAGCCCTGGGGCAGCCCTTTGTGGCAGCCCTGGTGGCTCCGGGGCCCTGTACTGAGCCCCTTCCGGGGGCGCCAAGTGGGGCGCTGAGCTCACGAATGTGGGATGAATGAATGAGGCAGGGCCGGGGGTTCAGCTGCAGGGGTGGGTCCTCCCCCACCTTCCAAGCCTCAGACCCTGCTCTTCCCCCTCCGCTCTGGAACCTGAGCCCCTTAGGGCAGAGGAGGCCGCCGGCCCTCCCTGATCCGACCCCCTTGTTTTTCACCCGTGGGGCCCTTGGCCTCTTGAGGGGAGCATCTGCTACGAGGACCAGCCAGTCGGGCTGTCCTTCCGGCCCCCCTGCCCCATCCCCGCCCCCGTGAAGGACTGTCCCCACCCGACCCTGCCCCAGCTCCCCGGGGCTGCTGCGAGCTGCCGGCCTGCCCCTGCCCCGGCTGACGTGCCCCCGTTCTCCTCAGCTCTTCATCGGCTTCGGCTTCCCCTATGAGGGCCCCGCGCCGCTGGAGGCCATCGCCAACGGCTGCGTCTTCCTGCAGTCCCGCTTCAGCCCGCCCCATAGCTCGCTCAACCACGAGTTCTTCCGCGGCAAGCCCACCTCCAGGGAGGTGAGCGAGCGGGGTGGGCGGAGGTGGGGGCCCGCGGTTCCTGGAAGAGAGGGTGGGCACAGAGGGGACACGAGAGCTGGGCGCCTCCCCGAGCCCCGCCCAGCCCGTGCGTCCGCCGGCAGGTGTTCTCCCAGCACCCCTACGCGGAGCGCTTCATCGGCAAGCCCCACGTGTGGACGGTGGACTACAACAACTCGGAGGAGTTCGAGGCGGCCATCAAGGCCATCATGAGAAGCCAGGTGCGCCTCAGGGCCAGTCGGGTCGCCGGCCGTGCTGTGGGTCTCCAGTACAGGGAGAAAAGGTGCCCCACCCTGGGGAACTCAGATGCACAGGCCTGGGTGGGCTGATCTGACGGTGGATCCCCCCTCACCAGTGTGTGTGTGTGTGTGTGTGTGCATGCATGTGTGTGTCTGTGTACACATGTGTGCGTGTATGTGTGTGCACACGGGTGCTTATGGTGGGGGTGCCCTTGTGCTCAGCTAGCAGCCTGTACACCCTCACATCCGCCCCAGGGCCAGAGTCACTTGCTGAGCACCTTCAGGCACAGCCGGGAGCCCTGGGAAACAGGGCAGGTGCTGCGAGGACGTTCACAGCTGGGACTCCGCCGTTCGTCCGTGCGAACCTGGACTCCCCGCGGCCCCTCTCCAACAACAGTGGGCTCTAGACCGCCCGGCACCTTGTTCACGTGCCCGTCCAGGCCTCTCAGGTCCGGGGTGGGGCTGAAATGAGGTCTCCCAGGAGCCTCCCTCCGGGTAGCAGGGGGTAGAGCATCCCGGGCTTCCTCCAGCAGGTGTGTGTTGGTGTGCGTCGGTGTGTGTGCCTGCACGCGTGTGGGCGGGGTCTCCCCCTCTGCCCACCAGGATCCCTCTCGACCTGCTTCTTGCTGTAGCTCAGACACCAGGTTGGGTGAAATAACCACCCTGCCGCATCCCCTCCCCTGCCCTGGGTGGGGGCGATGCTGGGGGTGAACCTCTGAGTCTGCAGCAGAACTGGAGAGACTGGACTGGCTGGGACAAGGGCCTTCAGAAGCCAGTGACCGCATAGGTTCCTTCTGCAAGGGAGAGTCCTGCCCGGGGGACTCACAGCAGGCTGGCCTGGCTGCTGGCCCGGGCTCCGGGACAGAGGCCACAGGGCTGGATCCCCACTGGGGTGGGAAGAGCTGTGCTGGGGCCCAGGCCCCACCCAGTTGTCCTGCCCCTGACACAGGGCTGCACTTTCTCGACACCTGTACTGTGTGTATCACCACTCCCACTCGGGAGACCCAGCCGTAGGCCATGCCCTCAGCCCGTGTTCCCCGCTAATTCCTGACCTGCCCCATGCCCGCCTTCATCCTTCCCACCCTCGTCCTTCCCGCCTTACATCTTGGGGTGAGCGTTTCTGTAGCGAAAGCACCAGGAAGGACGCTGCTGTGTCACAGGTCACAGCCCACCTTCCACTGGGACAGACGTAGCCAGGCTGACCTGCGAAGTGGCCGGAGCCTGGGCCCTCCGTCAGTGGAGGGGAGAGCCCTCCGCTCCCCTCTTGGGCCTTTGCTTTGGCAGACCTCTGCTCTTAGTCCCTCTGGGTCAGGGGGTGTCTTAGGTTGGGCTCCAGAGGGGACCCCAAAGCATGACTTCAACACAAGGTGAGCTGCAAGGCAGGCCCTGGAGTGACAGAGCAGGACAGGGCGTGTCATGGAGCAGGCCACCTGCGGGCACATGCTGACGACATCCCCTGACAGGTGGGGTCCATCGTGTTTTCAACCATCCTGCCCGAGAGTCAGGAAACCCGAAATGCACCCCCAAACCTTCAACTGCAGCTGGGTGGGGGCAGCATCTGGGGGTGCCACTGGCTTTCTGCACCAGCACCTGCCCACAGGTGGGGGCTCCCCAGGGGCATCGGTGCAGGAGGAGGAGGTGGTCACGGTGGGAGACTGACCAGCCCGCCCTGGCTGTGGGCCCAGCACACTGCATCCGGAGTCCAGATGGCCCCCCACGAGGCAGATGGTGTGGGGTGGGGGCTGTGGGAAGGGGGACACCCACCCCACACTCTCCTGCCATGCCCTCTCTCCTCTCTTTTCAAAAGCAGCCCTCCAAGTCTCCTGTCCCCAGGGCAGGGGCAGGGGTGGGAGGGGACCGGGCAGTCTTGGCCCGCCCTCAGGACTCAGGCCTGGCCTGACTCTGGGGTAGCGTGTTTACTGGGAAGGTGCTTGCCACGTAGCTTCCCGGGCCCACCCCGGGGTGGCCTTGCAGTATGCATTTTAACTCGGACCCTGGGTGATTCCAGGAATCCCACATCGGAGAACGGATTTAGGGGCAGCTGGCAGCAGCTGAGAGAGTGAAGGGGGGCCACCTTGGAGGACGCAGCTTGTTCTGCAAGTCCTGGGGGCGGAGAGCAGCAAGGAGGGGGTGGCAGGTGAGGAGGGCAGGTGAGAGAGACCCAGGGCACCCAGCCCGCTGTCCCCCAGTCCGGGTGGGTGCGCTCTCCACCACCTCTCGGCCTCGGTGGCTTCGCCGGTGGGTACCTGTCTGTCCAGAGTGAGGCCATTCAAGGTGAGAGGGGAGAAGGCCATGCACCCCCCGCCCTGGCTGCCTCTCATTACGCAGCTGGCGATCCGAGGCAGGACCAGCACCTACCATTCTGTTGAGACCCGTCACTGTGTACCCTTGTAATTAGACCTAATGGGGGTAATTTCTAGACAGGCAGCCGCCTCTGACGGGGGACTCATGGCAGATGGGACACGGCTGGCTAAGAGAGCCCCTCACACGGGGGCCTGTGAGTCACCGTGTGACACGGACTTGCTGTGGCGTGGGCAGAGTGGCCCTTGGAGGACGGATCTCTTCTCCGGGGGGGTTATGACCAGGGCTGGAAGCCTGGCGCCTCAGAGGCGCCCCCCAGAGGCTGGAACGGCCGGGCCTCCGTGGGGCCCTCGGCGGGCAGGTTGGAACCGGGCTGTGCTGAGCTTAGGGCCGGGGGCTGCCCCGCTAACCGGCTGTGACAGCACTGACTGGGTTTGGGACCTGGGGGTCGTCTGGGAGTGCGGAACCGCCCCAGGTGCAGGTGAAGTCAGAACTGGGGACAAGGTCGGGTGTCTGGGACCTGTCCCGAGAATCAGCCTGGTGGCCAGGGTCAGCGTCAAGGGCAGTGGCAGCTCCTGGTTCGCCGGGACCCTCCTCTGCATGAATGTTGGCAAAGCCCCGGAGGCCCGAGGGCCCAGGACAGGCCACCAGCCCTTGGAGGTGAGATCATGTGACAGCACCCGAGGAGGAAGAGGAGCGGACTCACTGGGGCAGAACTGTGAGGTCGAACTCCCGGGGCTAAACCCGGCGGATTTGGGGAGAGGCTGGCAGGAACACGGCCAGGTCAAGGTGGGCTGGGCCGGCAGTGGTGCCAACACACGTGTTGGGAGTCAGGGGGGTCAAAGGCTAAAACAGACCCTCCCTGGAGCTCAGGACGGGACACCCTGTGTCCTCGCCTGGCTGACTGCCTCCTCCGAGGTGGCTGTGTGCCGGCCGGCGAGGGGCGGCGTGGGCAGGGAGGGGCTGCTCAGGGGGGACGTGCAGAGAAGGTGGGGTGCCTCCCCATCACCTCCCCCTCTAGTCCCCTTGGTCCTCCGACCCCAGCTACTCCCTTCACCTGCCCCCAGCGCGGGCTGCTTTCAAACTCAGACATTCGGACAGTGTGTGGCTCCGTTTGGGGGTGTCTCCTCTGTGCCTGCCTGGTCTGGGCAGGAGGCTTCGCAAAAGCCATCTCGCTCCAACTCGGGGAGGTGCCCCGGGCTCCTCTGCATGTTCCAGGTCTTGGGCAGGACGCAGGCAGAGCTGGGGCCTGAGCGCCTGCTGTATACCAGGCGCTGTGCCAGACAGTCCTGGCTCTCAAGGGGCTCGCAGCCTTAGAGACCTGAAGGAACCGAGACACAGGCGCCAGGGAAAGTCTGTGGCATCAGAAAGGAAAGCCAGCCCCTGACTGGTGGGGGCGGCTCGGGGGCTGCTTCCTGGAGGTGGTGTCCCCTGAGGGGGAAGGCAGATCCAGCTGCATTGGCTGCATCGGAGCCCAGGACTGGGTGGAGGGCTGAACTCACTGCGTGGGGCGGAGCTCGGGGAGGCTGGGACTGGCATGGGGCAGTGGGGGAGTGGGGGCGCCTCTGGGCAGAGGGGCCAGCCGATGGGGTGCTTGGCCCCTGCTTCGGGGGCCAAGAGCAGTCAGATCTCCATCCCAATGCTAAGCAGGGTGACCTGGCTGCCGGCCTCTCTGCCCCTGCCCCATGCGTCTGCCCACCCCTCCCACAGGTGGACCCCTACCTGCCCTACGAGTACACCTGTGAGGGGATGCTGGAGCGGGTCCATGCCTACATCCAGCACCAGGTGCGCGGGTCTTCTTCTCCCCACCCCAGGAGTGGGGGCCCCACTCCCAAACCCAGCCCCAAACCCCGCCCACCCCTGTCCAGGGCCCCGCCCCATCTCCAGTCCTTCCGTTTTCTTCCTTCCAACCGCAGTGGGTGGGGTTAGATGGGGGGGGGGCTCAGGGGTAAGTGCTGCTCCGGCAGAGGCCTGGCCTGCGGTGCCCCGGGTCCCCAGCTGTCGCGCCCCCACCCCACAGCACAGAGACACAAGGTCTGTTCGTGTTTAGGGGGGGTGTTTAAAGGTTTGCAACTGATTAAGTGACTGTAAGTATGGAAGACCCCCCACACACACCTCCCCTGGTTGAGTGGGTGGGACTGGCGTGGGGGATGGAAACCATTGTCCTGAAAACCTGGGAAAGGGCCGCTGCCTTGAAAGCAGAGGGCCTGCCACCCCAGGGGATTGGAGCCAGCCGCGGGGCCTGGCCAGGTGGCTTATAACTGCTAGATGCTGAGACCGGTGGTCTGTGGCCTTTGGCCACACTTTGTCAGTGGCCCCGTCACTTCGCAGAAGATGCTGAGGCCCTCAGCAGGGGGGCTGGGTGGGGTCGGGCCAGGGCTGGAGCCTGGGGCTCGGCCAGACGTCATTACAAGCTCACTGAAAGGCAGCGGCCGGCCTCACCGGCCCCTGGATGTGGCCCCTGCTGGGAGGGCCTCTCGGGCCAGCCCCGTCCACCCTGGGTGCCGGAATGGCACCCCGACTGTAATCAGCCAGCCCTGGGGAAGCCCTGGGCCGTCTCCCTGTCCCTGGCCCTTCTCACGCTGCTTCTTCCTGGCAGGACTTCTGTACAGCCCCGGGCCCTGCCCCACCGGGGGTCCAAGTCCCGCAGAGCCCCTTGGTCCTGGCCCCCAATGCCACCCACCTCGAGTGGGCCCAGAACTCCAGCCTGGCCCCCGGGGCCTGGCCCCCGGCACGCTCACTCCGGGCCTGGCTGGCCGCTGCGGGGAGGGCCTGCACGGACGCCTGCCTGGACCGCGGGCTGGTCTGCGAGCCCTCCTTCTTCCCCTTCCTCAACAGCCAGGACGCCTTCCGGAAGTGAGTGAGCCCTGCCCGGCCCCTCCCTCCACTGGCCTTCTCCCCCCGCCCCCCAGTCACTGGGCCCCCAGCCCTGCCAGCAGTGGGGAATGAGAGGGGGCTTTCTTCTGAGTCAGGAAGGATGAGAAGGGACCTTCTGGGCAGGTGTGCAAGTCCCGGCCGTGCCACTCCTGGCCTCAGCCCCAAACCACCCAGGGAAGCGCCCCGTGTCCCTGCCCACCTCCATGCTTCCCTCACCGCCTTCCCAAGGTTTTTCCTGATGGGTCAGCCCCAGCCACACCCCCCATTCTCCTCATCCCCCTCTCTCAGCAGGTGGGAGAAGGGGCTGCTGGCTGGTGGGGGGCGGGAGTTGTGCTGGGGCAGCCTGTGCCCTGCCCCTGGCTGAGGGGTGGCCGCCCGCGGTGCCGCCCAGGCTGCAGGTGCCCTGTGACAGCACCGAGTCGGGGATGAACCACCTGTACCCGGCGCTCGCCCCTCCCGGCCGGGAGTGCTTCCTGCAGAAGGAGCCCCTGCTCTTCAGCTGCGCCGGCTCCAGCACCAAGTACCGCCGCCTCTGTCCTTGCCGAGACTTCCGCAAGGGCCAGGTGGCTCTGTGCCAGGACTGCCTGTGAGGGCGCCCTGCCGGCCCTCCCTGCTGCCGGAGAAAGCACCAGCAGATTCCAAGCTCCAGCCGCCCCCCCTCCCCCCGCCCAGTTCAACACCAACACCTCAGGCTGGAGTTTCCTCTCTCGGCTGGGAAGTGGGCAGAGTGGGCACGGTTGAGAGGGGAGGCAGCTCGTCCCGGCTGGTGCAGGCTCTTCCTTCTCATCCTGGGGGCTCCAGGCAGACGGGGCCGAGCAGCTGTGGGGTATCGGAGGGTCCCCATGGCCCAGGTGCAGGTGACCCGAGGCCCCTAGCTCTGTGCAAGGCCGCGTCTGGCTCAGGCGGGGAGCCCATCTGGGGCCCAGGATGGGGCCTCTTGCTGCGTGAGATGGAGCAGGTGCGATGCCTGCCCGATGTCCCCCTGAAGGGTCCAGGGACTGAGGGGTCAGCCTTGATCCTCGGGAGTTGTTTGGGGTGTGGCCAGAAGCGGCAGGAGACTGGAGGAAGGCCAGGCTGCGGGCCCGGTTCATGCCCCTCTCAGCTGGGCCCCTCCCTGCCGTGCTGGGGGCCGCAGTTGGAGCTGCAGGGGCCCCTCCACCTGGAGCTGGACTGTTTCCCTCTTCTCCTTGTTCCAACTCTTCACCTTGGACGCCTCCTGAACCCCATCCCAGCAGGACTGCGATTCCAGACCTCGGATTTGTTCCCAAAACCTCAGTTTCCCTGCCCCACCCCACCCCCAGCCTCTGAGAACAAGGCTCTCAGATCCCTTCCCAGCATCTGTTGTAGGCAAACGCTTGGGGCGGAGCGTCCGCCCCATGGCACCCCTGGCCTAGTGTCTGGCCGCCCAGGTCCACTGGCCCCCGTGTCGCCCCCACCCTGTCTGTGCTTCATCCATGTCCCTCCAGCCTCCGGATCCACGTGTCCACCTGTCCACCTGTGTGCGCATGCCTGCCCCCGCGCCTGGAGCCCTGCCTGCCTGAGCCGCCCCGTCCTGCTCCACAGTCCCACCCCCTCTCCAGGGGGCCGCCCTGGGCCCTGCGAGTCCAGGCGGGCAGCCCACTCCGGGCTGAAGGCAGGGTGCCTGCCACGGGAGAGCACTCTCCCGGCCTGGGCTGGCCCTGCGGCCACAGGGACACAGTCGTCACCAAGAACCTGACCTTCGGGGGAAAGCAATAGAGACTCTTTTCTCTTTTTTAAAGATTTATTTCTTGAAATAATAAATATTTTATTGGGATGTGCGGTGCAGAGAAGGAGCTGCTCTATTTCTCATCTTTTCCTCCCTGGAGCACCCAGGGCTGCAGGAGCAAGGGGGTGTGAGCGCCCAGGGCCGCAGGAGCGAGGGGGTGTGAGCGCCCAGACCGGGGCTCTGCCCCAAGGAGGGCCCTGCAGGGCCTGGAGACCCACTGCCCCCCTTGCTACCCTGGGCTGTGGCTGCAGGGCCCCTGCTTGGCCACCAGCGGTCCTGGGTCTGGTTCACTGCAGGCTGGCCTCTCTGGCCCTGGCAGGGGGGGGTCAGAACCCACATGCCCTTGGGGGAGGTCTACCTGACATTCACTGGACATCCACTGGGCTCCGGGCCCCGGGCTGGGAACGTGTCATTTTATGTGCTCAGCTGTCCTATTGGGTGGGTGCTGCCATATCCCCTGTTGACAGAACACGGAGGCACAGAGAGGCTAAGCAACAGGCCCACAGTCACACAGCTGGTAAGCACTGAGGCAGGCTTGGCTATACAGTCACCCAGGCCAGTGGGTCCCAGACTGGCCTGCATGGGTCACCTGATTCTGAGCTCGGTGAGCGCAGGTGGCTGGACCTACCCCCAGCCCCCAGGTTGTAATTCAGCAGGGCTGGGGCAGGGCCTGGGTCGGGTCTAACAAGGGCGCTGCCGCTCCAGGCCCAGGGTCCCCAGGCTAGACCTCGGGTACCGGGAGGCGTCTCAACCGGCTTTAGATGATTCTCAATGCGTAATTGCCCGATGGCGTAGGATGTGGGAACGCTATCTGCCTATCTTCTTTGGGAGATGTCTGTGCGGGTCTTTGTCCATTTGTAAATTGGGTTGTTCTTTTTGAGTTTTAAGAGTTCTTTGTGGAGGAGCCTAATTTTGAATCCTGTCTTAAACTCTTAATGAGGGAGGGGGTGGAGCGGGTGGAGGGGCAGGCTGGTCGCCAGAGAGAGAAGGCAGTCCTGCCAACCAGACACAAGGCCAGGTGGCAGTGGGAGGACCCTCCCCCCTCCCTAAACCAAAGCTAGCCACCCCACTTCAGCGCCCCCCACCCCGAAACCAAGGGCATCACTTACAGGTGAGCAAACAGGTCTGATGAAGTACCCCCCTCCGCCGCCAGCCTTTGGAAAGGCCTGGGGAGCCTTAGCCGCCCGCCCCCAGGCTGCCCCGCCCCCAGGCTGCCCCCAGACCAGTTCCTCCCACGTGCCTGGACAGGGTCTGGACCGGAGGAAGCAGGAAGCGCTGCATCTGAGTCTTGGGGAGCATCTAGCCTGTGACACTGGGCTTGCTCTTTGTCCCCAGCTCTGCTCTCGTTGGGGTGGGGTCGAGCTGAGGACCCCTGCAGGGGCCTGGTGGGAGTTTACCCCTCCCACTCCCTAGGCAGCCCAAGGCTAAGAGGTTTCAGCTGCTAATTACCCTGGGCCTGGGGCAAAGAACACACCTCTGCTGGAGTTCATGGGCAGGAGAGGGGCGGTCTCCTCTGGGCCTGGGGCTGCCGGGAGCCTGCCCAACTCTGGCTCTTCTGTGTGGGGGACTCCCTCTGGGCTAGGACCAGGCCTGGCAGCTTCGCCCTCCCTACATCCTGGGACCTCAGCTGCCCCCTCCCCTTGGTTGACTTCCAAGGCCCCTCAAGCCCTGGCTGCTGTGGCTAGGTGGATTCCAGGGTCGTGGGTTGGAATCCCAGTCGGGGCACATGCCTGGGATGCAGCCTGGTGCCCAGTGGGGGGCACTTGAGAGGCAGCCACACACTGATGTTTTCCTCTCGCCCTCCCTTCTCTCTAAAAATAAATCAATCAGATCTTTTTTAAAAAGAAAACAGTGCTGCAATAAACACAGGAGTGCATATATCATTCACAAAAGGCCCCTCGGAACCCCAACCTGTTGCCGTGAGACCCCACCTTATTTTGTACTTTGTTCCTACTGTGCAAAAGAAAGGTCACCCCAGAACACATCAGGGTGGAGGACGGGTCAAAGTCCAGCAGATACCTCTCGGGGTATGGGGTGTGAAATGTGAGTGCTGAGTAACTGGGAGCCATAGGCCAGGACCTAGGGCTGCCTCCCCGTGTCTCCCCGTGTCTCCAAGTACCTCCAGGTGCCTCCAGGCGCCTCCCCGTGTCTCCAGGTGCCCCCAGGCGCCTCCCCGTGTCTCCCCGTGTCTCCAAGTACCTCCAGGCGCCGCCCCGTGTCTCCCCGTGTCCCAAGTACCTCCAGGTGCCTCCAGGTGCCTCCCCGTGTCTCCCCGTGTCTCCAAGTACCTCCAGGCGCCTCCCCGTGTCTCCCCGTGTCTCCAAGTACCTCCAGGCACCTCCCCCTCCCTCCCTCCCCCAACCCTCCCCGTGTCTCCCCGTGTCTCCAAGTACCTCCAGGCGCCGCCCCGTGTCTCCCCCGTGTCCCAAGTACCTCCAGGTGCCGCCCCGTGTCTCCCCGTGTCTCCAAGTACCTCCAGGCGCCTCCCCGTGTCTCCCCGTGTCTCCAAGTACCTCCAGGCGCCGCCCCGTGTCTCCCCGTGTCCCAAGTACCTCCAGGCGCCTCCCCGTGTCTCCCCGTGTCCCAAGTACCTCCAGGTGCCTCCCCGTGTCCCAAGTACCTCCAGGCGCCTCCCCGTGTCTCCCCGTGTCTCCAAGTACCTCCAGGCGCCTCCCCGTGTCTCCCCGTGTCCCAAGTACCTCCAGGCGCCTCCCCGTGTCTCCCCGTGTCTCCAAGTACCTCCAGGTGCCGCCCCGTGTCTCCCCGTGTCCCAAGTACCTCCAGGCGCCTCCCCGTGTCTCCCCGTGTCTCCAAGTACCTCCAGGCGCCGCCCCGTGTCTCCCCGTGTCCCAAGTACCTCCAGGCGCCTCCCCATGTCTCCCCGTGTCCCAAGTACCTCCAGGTGCCTCCAGGCGCCTCCCCGTGTCTCCCCGTGTCCCAAGTACCTCCAGGCGCCTCCCCGTGTCTCCCCGTGTCTCCAAGTACCTCCAGGCGCCTCCCCGTGTCTCCCCGTGTCCCAAGTACCTCCAGGTGCCTCCAGGCGCCTCCCCGTGTCTCCCCGTGTCTCCAGGTGCCCCCAGGCGCCTCCCCGTGTCTCCCGTGTCTCCAAGTACCTCCAGGCGCCACCCCGTGTCTCCCCGTGTCCCCCCGTGTCCCAAGTACCTCCAGGCGCCTCCCCGTGTCTCCCCGTGTCTCCCCGTGTCCTAAGTACCTCCAGGCGCCTCCCCGTGTCTCCCCGTGTCCCAAGTACCTCCAGGCGCCGCCCCGTGTCTCCCCGTGTCCCAAGTACCTCCAGGTGCCTCCCCGTGTCCCAAGTACCTCCAGGCGCCTCCCCGTGTCTCCCCGTGTCCCAAGTACCTCCCGGCGCCTCCCCGTGTCTCCCCGTGTCTCCAAGTACCTCCAGGCGCCTCCTCCCCGTGTCTCCCCGTGTCCCAAGTACCTCCAGGCGCCTCCCGCCCCGTGTCCCAAGTACCTCCAGGCGCCGCCCCGTGTCTCCCCGTGTCCCAAGTACCTCCAGGTGCCTCCCCGTGTCCCAAGTACCTCCAGGTGCCTCCCCGTGTCTCCCCGTGTCCCAAGTACCTCCAGGCGCCTCCCCGTGTCTCCCCGTGTCTCCAAGTACCTCCAGGTGCCTCCCCGTGTCTCCCCGTGTCTCCAAGTACCTCCAGGCGCCGCCCCGTGTCTCCCCGTGTCCCAAGTACCTCCAGGTGCCTCCAGGCGCCTCCCCCCTCTCGCCCGTGTCTCCCGTGTCTCCAAGTACCTCCAGGCGCCGCCCCGTGTCTCCCCGTGTCCCCCCGTGTCCCAAGTACCTCCAGGCGCCTCCCCGTGTCTCCCCGTGTCTCCCCGTGTCCCAAGTACCTCCAGGCGCCTCCCCGTGTCTCCCCGTGTCCCAAGTACCTCCAGGTGCCGCCCCGTGTCTCCCCGTGTCCCAAGTACCTCCAGGCGCCTCCAGGTGCCGCCCCGTGTCTCCCCGTGTCTCCCCGTGTCTCCAAGTACCTCCAGGCGCCTCCAGGTGCCGCCCCGTGTCTCTCCGTGTCCCAAGTACCTCCAGGTGCCTCCGGGTGCCTCCCGTGTCCCAAGTACCTCCAGGTGCCTCCAAGTACCTCCAGGTGCCTCCCCGTGTCTCCAAGTACCTCCAGGTGTGAGAAGTTCCTCACTCCTTCCTGGCAGGTCAGGACAGTGAGGCTCCAGGGAGAGTGGCTCTCAGCCCGCCACTGCCCAGACAGGACACCAGATATTCTGACCCCCACACTGCCTTCCCCCAGCCACAGCTCTAGTGGCAGGGTTCTCCTTGGGACGAACGAGCTGGAAGGTGTTATGGGTTGAATTGTGTCCCTGAGAAGACATGAGGAGGTCCCAACCCCGGTACCTGCCCGTGAACATGATCTTATGTGGAAAGGGCCGTGGCAGACGTAACTAGTCAAGATGAGGTCACGCGGGGTATGGGTGGGCCCCAAATGCAACGGCTGGTGTCACAAGAGGAGGGGAATTTGGACACAGACGCACACCCCAGAGAGGGCTGTGTGGGGCAGAGCGGAGACCGGAGGGGTGTGTGTGGACACCGGCAGCCCCAGGAGGGACCCTCCCCAGACCAGGGAGCAAGGCCCTGCTCCACCCCCACCCCAATCTCAGACGTCTGGCCTCCAGACTTGAGAGAATTTCTGTAATTTTAAACTGTCCCATGTGTGAAAATTTGTTATAGGATCTGCAGGAATGAATAAAGAAGGGTTGGATGTCCACTATCTTCAAAGATACTGACCCAGAAGGGTGAGCTGCGTGGCCACAGGCTCCTGAGCCCCGTGGCCCCTGGACCGGGCAGCTCAGTCCGTCCTTTCTCAAGAAAATGGGAAAATTGGAGCTTGCTCAGTACACCCCCAAAGGAGGAAGAACACTGCCCCCACCCTCCCCCTGTAAACACCCGACCCTCCGGGTACCCGGGAGCCGCAGGCAGGCACTCGCAGAAGGGGGCGGACAGTTCCTTAAGGCCGCCTCTGTGCACCTCCTGGATTCAGCCTTCGGGGCCTCCCTCTGACTCGGCTAAAAATAGCCCA